CTTACCACACACACACACACACACACACACTGTGTTGCAGCTGCTCAAGCATTGCGAGAGGAAGCTTCACCCTTTCTCCAAATCCTGCTCTTTCTAATTTTAGACGTTGGCTTTAAAAATAAACTGAAACAACATCTCCCACCGGGACCGTCGCTCTGCAAGTGCATCAGAACTTTCTCTCCACATTCCTAAACTTCTCACTCTGACACCGACATTAGCTAAAAAAATGAAGACCCCTGCTGAAATCAGTGCCAGTCGAGTGAGTAGAAACACATTCAGTCTTCACACATAGACGCTGTACCATGCCCCAAACGTTATCGCTTTTCTCCCTCCCTACTTTATCAGCAATGTAGGCCCCGCCTCCAGCTGACCTAATATGGGGGCATCTTCCTGCCCGCTGGCCAATCAGCAAGCTGGCCCCGGTCCCTTCTGGAGATGCTGTGGTCCTGTGTCGGGTCGAGGTTTTCAGTGAGGGGAGCCACGGGCGGGCTGGTGACGAGGGATGAACGTTTTTGACAGAGAGCAGGACAATTTTAAGAAATACCACCAACAAGAGTGAGAGACTGAAAGTTCTTAGGGCGGGAAGACGATTGAAGCTCTGAAGGGAGACCCTGGGAAGGCCGGGAGGAAGGTAGGATGGACCTTCAGCTTGCATTAAAGCTTCAATGAGTAGTTCTGGAGAAAAAAAGTCAAGTTTTTGTCCTGTAGTTGTCATGGGAAGTTTTGCAGAAAGTTGCCGGGCCTGCGCAGCGCGGAATGACTGCACATGGCGGAACAATAGCATGCTGTTTCAACAAACACTTGAGTAGTGTGTGTCACCATGACGTTTCGTGTTTTGTGACAAGAGGAGCTCATGGAAATTAATGCTAACTACTTCATTCGGTATTGAGACGAGTCACGTTGGACAGGTTTTCCAGATTGTCAAGATAAAACAGCTTTTGTTGAGGTCCAGAAAAAAAAAATAATCGGAAAGTCAAGTGACGCAGAGCTGTCAGAGGTGCTGGCATGGCATTGACTTCGTTTAGTCTCGTTCTTAGCGTTACACACAAGTGACAGCTGCAGCAGGATAGTCATTGGATCCGTTTGCCCCCTCCACAACAGAAATGGAGCCCTCCCCCACCTTAACCCGCCCCAGCCTGGTATGTCATCATGGCGAGGGCACAACGATGACAACAGCCAAGGTAGTTGGATCTGTGCAGGTTTACGGAAAAATTCCAGCACATTTTCAAAGGAAGTTAAAATAGGGAATGTTGGAAATATTCAAAATTGGAAACTTTACAAGAGAATTAACTGAAAATTGAGGGTGAAGTGATTAAATTATGAACATAAACATTTTCAGTTTTTTTTTTTTTTTAAAAGCAGACATTCATGCTCAACAGTTAACCCCTCTTGTCCACATGAGAGGGCATTACAGTGCCTATAGTGTGGTTATTTTTCTTGATTTCCTGATTTATTCCGGTCAATTCCCATGGAAAGTTTCCAACTTTGAAACCCAACCATTACACTTGATTGGTTTGGAATCTTACCTTTCTGTCCTGCAAGAGACAGAACCTAACCTTGAAGTGACTTAATTAGCAGTGTATGGTATATAGTGGGGCATTATTGCCCTCCTGGGGCAGATCAAGCTTGGGTTTTGGAGGAGTTTTAGTTTTTTTGGCGGGGACCCCCCTCTTTCTTTGAGATCTGCAAAGAGTATTTGAATTTAAAATGCAAAGGTGCAAAGGTTTGATTCCAGTCCCGGACTTCCTGTGTGGCGTTTGCATGTTCTCCAGGTGCTTGCGCGGGTTTTCTCCGGGTATTCCGGTTTCCTCCCGCATTACAAAAACATGCATGGCAGGTTGATGGAACACTCTAAATTGTCCATGAGTGTTCGGTGGTACCCCGCCTAACTGCCCGAAGGCAGATGGGATAGGCACAGCACACTCGCGGCCCTCGTGAGGATAAACCGATTAGAAAATGGATGGACGGTATTTCACTCTCTCAGTCAGCATGCATTCTTCTGTACACTGTGACTTTGGTTTGGACCATGCGAATTTAAAGTGAATGAGAGGAGCAGCTTCCACTGGCTGGCAAGCAAGTCAGCTCTGTTCGCACCTACAACGGCGCAAACGCCTGTTTTCAAACTCATGAATCTGCAAAAGTGCCAAAAGAAAGAAAACTCCACCCATGCACACAGTTAGACCGCCCTTTGCGCTAGACTTGCACTGGGTATGAAAATAGGGCCCTATGTGCCATTTTCCTGTGATTTGCCGAGACTCAGCATGGTAACATGCTAATCATTACTGTCACAAACCAATCCTCAGCACGACTCGTTCGTCTACACTCCTCGGTCAGACTGCATAGTAGCTAAAGAGACTTCACTTGCTTTAAACACTTAGGGTGTCTTTGAAATCCTGGTGGGCTTCTCGAGTCCTCTGACTACCTGGTCTATCCTTTGAAGTCACAATCAGAGGTGGCAAAAGTACTCACGCTTTGTAGGTAGAAGTACAGATACAGGTACACGTGTACAAAAAGACTGGGAAAAGTAACAAGTCTATTTTGACAATTTAGATGTAGAAATACAGAAGAATGTCTTCAAAGTGAAAGTAAAATGAACCCTCAAGTACAAATGCCTCAAAAACTACTTCGTTACAGTATATCAACAAAGTATGTGTATATTGTTACTTCCCACCCCTGGCCACAACACACGTTTGGGATTTTATTCCTATCTTCATGGTACACGGTGCATCAGATGTGGTGTCATGCTACTTCTTAGCATGTGAGCCATCTGAAGCCTCCGTGAGTCCAGCTGGTGTAACGGAGGCCAAGAACTGGACTCTCCTGAAGAGAAGTTCAGGCTAGTGGAAGCAGCTCGAAGACATCACATGAACGCTTCAGCATAAACAAGGACTACAAGTGACATGATGGATCATGATGGTGGTTTCCTGGCATCCGTTTTTGGGCGGTGGCCGTGGTGCTAGTAGGTGGGGTTCATTTTCAAGCAGGAAGTTTGGTCAAGAGTGGATCAGGGGGCTTGGGAGGGAGCACCCCTGTGAGGAAACAACGTTTGACATCTGATCGAGGGTGAACTTCCCTGCACACGCCAAGTAAAGGAAGAGCCATGTAAATAGCATTATGCACCGTGTGACTCGAAGCATGTTTTCACGGGAGCATGTTGACGTATGCACTTTTTTAGATCTACGTTGTTGCTCGGTCAACTTTTATTTTTTTATTTTTGGTTTGGTGTCGCAAAAGACAATATTTGAGTTACGAGTGAGCCTCAGATACGCCATCGCTTGGCAAAAGTAAATGAATAAACAAACAAATACATTTGAACGACGGCGGCCTTTCGGCTGTTTATTGAAAGGGACAAACAACCAAAACCCGCAAATACAAAATAAAAACACATGCAAGGAGCATGGACCAGATGCTCACATGGAATTGATTTAATATCGGAGTAAATTAAGTGAAACCTGGTCAGGGATCAAATTGAACTCAAAAGTGAATGTAACACTGTGTTAACTAACAAAATAGGTGGGCATCTTTGTCAGAAATATCGCTTTCCTGTTTACATGCAGCCCCTTCCTGCCCAGAGATGGGCTGATCTGATTTTTGGGCCACCAAAAAGCACACTTGATCCTGATGATGACGGTTTCATCCGCACTTGTTATCGTATCTCATGACTCAAACAGGAAGTCGGAGGACGTGCATCGTGTTAGCGTTGGGAGGTAACAAAGAACAAATACTGAGTGAAATGAACATTTCTCTGGAATCTGTATTTCCCAGATTTTTCTGACGGCCTTTGATTTTTATTGCCTTCATTTGAAACCAGGTTATCTGCCCTTTCTACTGATTTGTCACAAAAGGCTTATTGTTTTTTTCAACGTCTGCTCAAATCGATTGAGATCTTGGGATCTCATAAGGTGAAAAAGATTTTGACATTTGTGGCCCACTTACAGGAAGAGTTGCTTGATGCTGTCTCTACCAAAAATGATTCTTGGTAATTGTGTTGCATTTTAAAACAAGCTGAATTTGTTGTTGCTGTTTTTATCATTAGCTAAGTGAGTGTGCGTAAAGCTATGGGAATGTGTTGTGATGGCATAAAAGCCTGAGTCAACAGGAGCTTGCTTCTTTTTACGCCTCAGTAGGCGCAATCTGTAAGTTAAAAAAAGAAGGCAACGGTGCAGATTTGTTGTTGTCGTGCCAAGTAAATACATCTCTGTACACCTTTACTTTTATTGAAGTACATGAGAGATATATGTATATGTTTGTATATGTATATGTTTATGCGTGTGTGTGCGTGTGGTCGTGTACACCTTTACTTTTATTGAAGTACATGAGAGATTCAGTACTTCTACTAAGTGTATATGTTTATGCATGCGTGTGCGTGTGGTCAGCCAGTGTTCTCTTAAACTTCTCCGTTTGGCTCAAAGTGCTGCTGCTTGCCTCTAAACTGGACTGGAGAAAACGGAGCACACGATTTCGATTCTGGCCTACCTCCACTGGCTGCCTGTACATTTTTGCTGTGTTGTTGCTCTGGGCATTTTTTTTTTTAAATCACAGATTGGCTACCATAGCTCAGGCTCATGACAGCTTTTTGCGAAACGTAGTGTAATTCTGAAGTGACACCAAGAAAAAATATCCTGCAACCCATTCCCAGTGATGTCTTTTTGAAAACCTGCTGCAAGGAAAAAGGTTGGCAATGAGGACAGCCAACTTCAAGAAAAACACAGCAGCATATCGACATGTCTTCAATGCACAGAGAAAATTGTGGTGCTCCAAAAAAAAAAAAAAATCATAAGTAATGACTCAAAGAGACATGCTGAGGAAATTGCAAAGTACCAGGGAGATGAGAGACACGACCTGGTCACCACTTTTGTTCATGTTCTGAACAACCGTTTCCATTCAGTCAAACTATCTCCAGCAGCATCCGCATAAGTTGAGTTTGAGACGAGCCCCACCTTACCTCCGTGATGGTCTCCATTCCTACGCTCCTGGCCAGTGCATCAGGTCAGCTGACCGGCTGTTCCTGGAACTTCTATGTTGGTGGTGCCATGCTGTGTGGAGTGACCACTCTCTGCAAATAAGAGAAAGCTCCCGTCATTGTCCATTTCTTAAAACACATCTTAAAACCCACAAATCAACCCAGCATGAGAATCTTACCTCTTTTCAAGTTTTTCTTGTTCTTAACTCGTTTTATTATTTAAATTGTTGTATATGTTTTTGTTTGATGCTTATTTGTGTGCAGCGCTTTCTTACGCCTGTAGTTGTTTTTAACGCGGTTTATAAATGGAGTGGAGTGGAGTTGAGAGTGTGTAGAACCTGACATCCCAGCCTCTGAACATTTTAGGAATGGCTTGGCTTGCAAGTCAGCCGCGGACCTTCAGCGATTTCATGTGATCACTTTAAGGACTTCGCTTTCGCTATGTACAGTATGTGCGTGCATCCATGTGTGTGTGTGTTTGGGGGGGCATGTGTGCGCGTGGGGTGTGTAGATGAGTGTCTGGTGTCCAGCGGGTCACAAGATGACATAACTCACAGTCTGTGGCGCTCACTTTAACATTGAGCGACCCTTGCTGCAATAAACGGTCAACCCCGAATAAGTCGCCAGGTGCGTCATCCGCTTATGACAGATAAACATTTCACCCCCCGTCAAGACGAAAATGCATTGTAAGTTCACAGATAAAAGTGGACAAACCACTGCCAAGTCCATTTGATCACCGTTACTAACCAAAACAGCAGCACCAAGCGAAGCGCATCAACAGTCTCTGAGATGAATTTAAGAGGTGAGTCTTGTTGTAAGAGAGGTCTCTCAATACAGTTAAAAATGAGAGTCTCTCTTTAACAACAATTAGCGCTCCAGGACAGTCTGATGTGTGGCCGCTCCACTATTCTGTGTGTGTCCATGTTTAATTGGACAACAAGGGTTTATTATTTTTTTAACACCTCTTTCACGTGGCAACTGTCGCAATCTACCACCAACGTGATTTAAAATGCTTCCATGATGTGTTTTGTTGTCCCCCTTCCAGACTCCGACAGAGAAGGCGACGACGGCCATGTTCACAGCGCCAGCAGAGATCACGCCGTAAGCAAAACACAGACATGGCAAATGACTAGCTCCGCCCTCACGTCAATTACAGTTGATTGCGCAGGTCAATTTTTTTAATTCTCAATGTTGTTATTTATTATTATTTTTTTAGCAGCCTACGTATTTCAAAGTAAGTCAGTGCTGATGCACATCGCTTGCATTAACAACACGGCTGCAAACAGAGAGGAGCTAGTAAACAACAGCAGAGTCAGTGCTCAGAATGCGGTTTATTTGCTCTACTGTTTAAAGTGAAAGTCAAGTCCAAATTTTTCTTTGCAATAATGTGTTCTATGTTCCCCCACTAGTCTAAACACAGTGATTAATATTGTGTTGGTGGAATAAGCAGATTCATCCACCCGTTTTCATCCACGTCAGGGCGCAGCCATTTGGGCATTCTACTCGCCTCTGCTCTCGACTGCAATTTACTTTCAAGTGCCCTTTGGGCTCGTGTTGCGAATGTCATGTGACTACATCTGGAAAACGGGTGAGCTGTGATGTTTGCAAAGGGAGTTTGAGGGCACTTTGATGTCAATTCCCGTCGATAGCGGAAGGCGGTAGAATGTCAAAGTGGCTGTGCCCTTCGATGGATGAATACGGGTGGATTCATCTGCTTTATTGTTATTCCGTCAACGCAATAGTAATGAGAAAACTGTGTTTAGACTCACACAGGCCCATAGAATAGACCACTACAAAGAACATTTTAGGCTTGACTCACACTTTATATCATACATTTCAATGGCGAGTGATGTCAAACTAAAATGACGACTACTGAGTATAATTGCTAAAATGGCCATTGCTGTCGTTCAACGAAAGAGACTCCATGAGGAAACGCCATCCACTGAAGGTTAAAACAAACATTTGACTTTAACAAAGACAGTAATGCTCCCTTTTGATTCACACACATTGTAATATATGAGACCCATCACAATGCTGTTCCTCTGCACAGGTGAAAGATAAGAAGCGTTCTCCCCCCTCAAGCAGACCCCCCGCTGGCCCACAACGCAACCCTCACCACAGCGCATCTGCAGAGGAACGCGAGAGTCCCGAAAGAGTGGTGAGACACAAATATAGACAAACCGTAACCCCTTTTAGCAACATGCCATACATACTCTACATAAACATACGCTACGTATGATCATATACACGAAACACACGAAAATGTTGGGACAGTGTGGAGTTGCTTCCACCTTTCAACAGCTTCTATGCGTTTGGAAAGACTTTCTATCATTGATCAATTAAAACCCAGAGACTTTTGTTGGCTGCCATTGATGAGCCCAGCTGGCAGCACATCTTTGCTCGCTCGCTACACTATTGTGGACCACAATGGATGGGCCACAAAAACAGCTTTCAGTTGTGCGGAATCAGCAGAGATGTCAGCAGTCTTTGCACCAGAGCATCAACAACAAACAATGTGGCTTATCTTTCCTGAATTACGGGAGAACCAGAAATGGAACTTACCGCGTCTGGCTGCTTGGCACGGTTTAGGCAAGGCAATTAATTCAAATATTACTTATACGCATACACACAAATGAATGACAACAACTTGAACGTAAATGCCATGAAGCTGAAAACATAATTCCTGAAAAAAGTTGTATATTTCCCTCATAAGCTAGATATTTTCAGGAAAAAAAAAATCGTGTACAGCATTTTTGTCCAAAAAAGAACCCAAACTCAAATATTTCTGAAAATGTTCATATATTTCATAAAACAAGTTTGATTAAAAAGGACCAGTGGTACAATCCAGAAGTTGTATATTTCCCAGAAAGTTGTCTATTTTTGAAAATGATCAAAACTTTATATTTCCTACCCCACAAAAACATTTGTGTTGTGTATAGGAGCAGAAGGAGAAGCTCCATGCAGAGTTGAAAAAGGTGCTGAGTCAGAAGAGAAGTCACCTTCGAGCATCCACCTGCCAACTGACCCAATCGGAGATGGACCCGGAACCTTCTAACGAGCAGACAGTAAAGCCCCCTTAGCCATCAAACTAACAATCTAAACCGAACTGGAAGTTTTCAAGTCATCTCGTAAAAATACAAATCATGTAGTCGACTTCAAATTTTAAAATGCCACCGTAGGCTATAGACAAAACAAGAATTGACACTGACATTGACATATTTTGAAAACGTGAGATGAATAACCTCCACAAGTATGGGAAGAACATTCGAACTACACACAGGAAGGCCAGAGCCGACATTTGAAACCCTGACTTCACAACTGCCAGGCAGACATGCTCGCCACTGGTCCACGGTGTTGCCCATACTAATAAATTGACAACAGTGTTGCTCCTGAAGGTCCACTGGTTGATTTTCGCACTTCGAAATTTATGCTAGCTTCTTACCTAGCTTCTTGATTTGTTCTGAATTATTTCCATATGTTATATTGATTCATACTGTTCACCATTCCATCTCACATACTTTTTTTTTAGCTTGACTTCACAACAGTGACAGACAAGACTGAAAGACTTTGTATTTGTATTTGAGGACCAGACCCCAGTGGAAGCCGCGGAGCCTCCGGTGGAGATCGTGGTGGAGACGGAGGCGGAGGCTGGAGCAAGTGGCTACAGCGTGACCGGCGGTGGAGAGCGAGGCATCTTCATCAAAGACGTCCTCAAGGACTCACCAGCTGCCAAACATCTCAGCCTGCAGCAAGGTGCCTGCATGCTTGCAAACTCCCCCACTGCAGTCAACACTATTTGCATTAGTTAAGGATCAAGATCGGCCCGAATAGTCGATAGTCCCTCAAAAGTGTTTTGCCAACATTCATAGTTTTAACCCTAAAAAAAGACTCCAAACCATACACTTTGACATTACAAAGTCATTTCACAACATTACTTTTAAAAATAATGCCTGACAGATGATTTGACTTGTAGAAAACAAATGCACAGGAAATGCAAGGATGCTGTGCATGTCACCACTTCGAAACCAGTGAAAGTAAACTAAAAAGTTGTATAAATAAATAGAAAAAGGTTGTATATTTGGAAAACAGGTATGCTTCCCAAACTAGTCAAACCGTACAATTCCTACTATATTTCCATAAAAAGACAGATCTTTCCGAAAAAAGTTGAATTCACCACAAAAGTTTGATATTTCTGAAAACATTTCTGAAACAGTTGTGTATTTCCTCAAAAAGGTCCTATGTTTTGGAGAAAGGTTGTTTATTTCTGAGAAAAAGTCATTTATTTGAAAAAGAAAAAAAAAAGACTGTCATTATTCAAACTTGTATACGACAACAGTCCCCAACAACAGACTGCTGTGATATTCTGGGAGTCCAAAATACTACTTTGATCCATACTAGGTGATCAGCTGCTAAGTGCCAAGGTCTACTTTGACAACGTGCGTTATGAAGATGCTCTGAAGATCCTCCAGTGCGCTGAGCCCTACAAAGTTAGCTTCCTGGTAAAGAGGACGGTCCAGGGGGAGGAGGTCTGCGTGCGGCCCCGCCTGCCCAGTGTGGACATCAAAGGTCCCAAAGCCAAGATGACCAAAATGGTAATTAAAAATTTCATTCATCCTCCCTTGACTCTGAGTCTGGCTTGTTAAATGTCACCTTATCACTGGCCAATCATGGTCACACCATGCATGAAGACGGGATTTCCACTTTGAATGGAGGAACTGTATATATGTTTATTTAGCCCATATTTTAACTCTAAACGTCTGGTCACCCTACCTTGGCTGAGAAGTTGACAATTTAGCACATTTCCAGTGCACTGAACAGTGGCGAGCAGATAGTTAGCATGATGGTATTCTTGCTTGTGAATTTTTTTTTAGGATGACCCTGTTTTGGATGCTCTCGATAAAGTGGTGCTCCATTTAAATTGATGTGAAATGCCAACCAATCATGTTTACAACAAGCATACAGGCAGTACTTTCACTCTGAGTGAAACAAGTTTTTATTATGTTTGTATTTATTTTTATTTTATTAAACTGAAACCAGACCAAAAAAACAAATCAAGAGTTGGTCACTCTTCGTGTACAGTGGTACATGAAGCTAAGTTATCGCTTAGCTTAGCGTCTGTAAGATCAGGATGAATTGCTCAGAGAGCTTTTCTTAATTTTTTTGGCTCCCCAAGGCATATCTTGGTGGTGTTAACAGAACGTGCTAACTAGCAGACAGCCGCCCGATGCAGTCTGGCAATGAAGTTCACTGTCGGCCAGAGTGACTGCTTCATATTCTGAATGAAACATGTTCCCTTATAAAATTAATGGTAACCTTGTCATTGATGTTTGATTGTTACATAAAGGCATCTAAAATAGGGGAGGGTGGCTGACCTTGTTGTATGTTTCAGAGCGTGAAGGCGATCAAGCCGTTCAAGGCCAAGAAGAAGAGAGGTGGCCGCTTTGGTCTGAAGAGGCTCAGGGAGAAACGGCGCGAGGAACTGGTGATCGAGGGAACGCCACCCCGGCTGGAGATGAGCGATGTGGACGTTGAATTTTGCCTCCCCAGGTTCAAACCCAGGCGGAGCGACCAAGTGAAGGCAGAAGGAGGAGCTGCAGCAAAGGCAAAGAGGAAAATCAGGTTGTATTACATATCGTAGGGATCATTTCAAATGTTTTTTTATGTAAATATATATATATATCAATCTCTCTCTCTGAGAGAGAGAGAGAGAGAGAGAGAGAGAGAGAGAGAGAGAGAGAGAGAGAGAGAGAGAGAGAAAGAGAGAGAGATTCTGTATTCCTCCTTCGAAAATTGGTACTCTCATTTATGCAGTGATTACAAGTGATCTGAAGTTTGATGCTAACCAAAACAGGAGTGCCTGCCAAGGTCCACTTGCTGCACCAATTAAAGTGCGTCGAAATCAAACAATTGATCATGTCTTCAGCGTCAATTAGCGTTCTAGAAGACTGAATAACTATTGTTTTAAACTTAATGACACACATTGAAATACACTGCAAACACTAATTAATGCTTTTGCAGAAATAGACTCCCTCAGCCACTTTTTGAAGAAATACGGTGTAAGAAACTGAGTACAGTGAGGTTCGGAAAAGTTTTAGAAATGTTGCAAGGATTTTTTTTCACAATTTTCTGTGGCAGTTTTCATCCTAACAAAATGTCTTCTCAGGTTTCCTCGGATGAAGATAAAAAGTCAGAGTGGAGGAAAAGAGGACAGTGGAAGACTGGAAGCAAAGGTGAAGGTCTCCCCGGCTGAGATTCCAGGAGCCAAAGCGAAAGCCAAAGGAAAAGGTCACAAGTTTGAAATCAGCTTTCCCAAGAGTAAGGATACCAAGTCTGGATCCGTGGAACTTAAGAAGCCGGATGTCAACATTCCGTCGCCGTCTGTAGAGTTCAGTTTGCCTGCTGGGAAAGGTGTAGATGTGGAAATGGGGGGAGTATCATTAAATTCGCCAGATGTGGATTTTGCCCTCCCCTCCATCAAAGCTGACACAACTTTGCCCGCTCAGAAGGGAAAGGTGGGAATTAAAGGTCCAAAAGTTGAAGTAAGAGGCGATGACGCCAAAGTTATGAAGGGAAAAGTTGATGTTGAAACAGGCAAAGGTGATGGAAAACTGCAAATGCCAAACTTGAAACTCCCCAAAATGAGACTGGTATGTGATTTGGATGAGACTGATGATGACAAAAGGAAGGTCAAAGCAGAAGGAGAAATCAGTGTTCCAACCGTGGAAATAAAAGGGGGAAGTGGTATTGTTCTCCCTGAAGCACATGTCAACAAAGGAGGGATTTTAGAAAATGTTCCATCTGTGCCTTCGGTTGACATCTCTTTTCCCAAAGTCAAAGGAACATCAAATATGGATATAAAGACCACAATTAGGAAGCCTGGAATGGACTTTTCTGTGTCAAACGTGGACCTCCATGTTGAGAGAATTCCAGACGAGGTGGAGGGCTCTTTTAAAGGACCTGAAATTTCCATGCCCACACTTGATGTCTCTTTGCCAAAGATGGGAGTGTCTGACAAGGATGTGGCTGGTGCAGGAAGTGATGGGAAATTCTGCCCTCCTTCTGCTGAGGTTGGAGTAGACATGAGCCATTATATTGGTGGAGATGGGAAGTTCACCCTACCTAATTTTAATGGATCTCAATCACAAAAAGTTAATCTGACAGGACCGGGTGCTGAAGGAGAATTCAAGTTGCCTAGTGTGGACCTGACGCTTCCCAAAGGCAAAGATGTGGACCTCGATATGCCCGATGTTAACATTTCTTTACCAAAGATCAGTCTTCCTGAGGGTGGTATCAAGCTAAAAGGCCCGGACTTCAAGAAGGGGAAAATGGATTTTCCAGACATTGATGTCTCACTTCCCAAAGGAAAACTTGAAGGTGGCATTGAACTTGAAGGCCCAGATATCAAGGGAGGAAAATTCAAAATGCCAACATTTGATGTTTCTTTACCAAAAGTCAATCTTCCAGAGGGTGGTGTCAAACTGAAAGGTCCACCATTCAAAGGAAAGATGGACACTGCATATATTGATGTCTCAATACCCAAAGAAAAATTTGAAGGTGGCATTGAGGTCGAAGGCCCAGATATCAAAGGAGGAAAGTTCAAAACACCGTCGTTTGATGTTTCTTTACCAAAAGTCAATCTTCCAGAAGGTGATGTCAAACTAAAATGTCCAGAACTTAAAGGAAAGATGGATATCCCAGATGTTGATGTCTCTCCTCCAAAAGTTGAAGGAGATTTTGACATCAAAGGCCCTGATGTCAAAGGAGGAAAGTTTAAAATGCCAAAACTTGATGTTTCTTTACCTCAAGTCAATCTTCCAGAGGGTGGTGTTAAACTAAAAGGTCCACAATTGAAAGGAAAGATGGAAACTGCAAATGTTGATGTCTCACTTCCCAAAGGAAAATTTAAAGGCGACATTGAGCTTGAAGGCGCTGATGTCAAAGGAGGAAAATTCAAAATGCCAACATTTGATGTTTCTTTACCAAAAGTCAATCTTCCAGAGGGTGGCATCGAACTGAAAAGACCAGACCTCAAGGGAGGCAGGATGGAAATGCCAGACATTGATGTCTCACTTCCCAAAGGAAAACTTGAAGGTGGCATTGAGCTTGAAGGCCCTGATGTCAAAGGAGGAAAGTTCAAAACACCATCGTTTGATGTTTCTTTACCAAAAGTCACCCTTCCAGAGGGTGGTTCCAAACTGAAAGGTCCAGAACTCAAGGGAGGGAGGATGGAGATGCCAGACATTGATGTCTCACTTCCAAAAGGACATTTTGAAGGTGTTGTTGAGGTTGAAGGCCCTGATGTCAAAGGAGGAAAGTTCAAAACACCATCGTTTGATGTTTCTTTACCAAAAGTCAATCTTCCAGAAGGTGGTGTCAAACTAAAAGGTCCCGAGCTCAAGGGAGGGAGGATGGAGATGCCAGACATTGATGTCTCACTTCCAAAAGCTGAAGGAGATTTGGACATTGAAGGCCCTGATGTCAAAGGAGGAAAGTTTAAAATGCCAACGTTGGATGTTTCTTTACCAAAAGTCAATCTTCCAGAGGGTCGTGTCAAACTGAAGGGTCCAGAACTCAAGGAAGGGAAAATGGAAATGCCAGACATTGATATCTCACTTCCAAAAGCTGAAGGAGATTTGGACATTGAATGCCCTGATGTCAAAGGAGGAAAGTTTAAAATGCCAACGTTGGATGTTTCTTTACCAAGAGTCAATCTTCCAGAGGGTGGTGTCAAACTGAAAGGTCCAGACCTCAAGGGAGAGAAGATGGAAATGCCAGACATTGATGTCTCACTTCCCAAAGGAAAATTTGAAGGTGGCGTTGAGGTTCAAGGCCCTGATGTCAAAGGAGGAAAGTTCAAAATGCCAACGTTGGATGTTTCTTTCCCAAAAGTCAAACTTCCAGAGGGTGGTGCCAAACTAAAAGGTCCAGAGCTCAAGGGAGAAAAGATGGAAGTACCAGATGTCGATGTCTCACTTCCCAAAGCTGAGGCAGATTTTGAACTGAAAGGTCCAGAACTCAAGGAAGGGAGGATGGAAATGCCAGACTTTGATGTCTCACTTCCAAAAGCTGAAGGAGATTTGGACATTGAAGGCCCTGATGTCAAAGGAGGAAAGTTCAAAATGCCAACATTTGATGTTTCTTTACCAAAAGTCAATCTTCCAGAGGGTGGCGCCAAACTGAAAGGTCCAGAACTCAAGGGAGGGAGGATGGAAATGCCAGACATTGATGTCTCACTTCCCACAGTTGAGGCAGATTTTGATATTGAAGCCCCAAAAGTCAAAGGACGAAAGTTCAAAATGCCAAAATTGGATGTTTCTTTCCCAAAAGTCAATCTTCCAGAGAGTGGTATGAAACTAAAAGGTCCAGAACTCAAGGGAGGGAAAATGGAAATTCCAGACTTTGATGTCTCACTTCGAAAAGCTGAAGATTTAGACATTGAATGCCCTGATGTCAAAGGAGGAAAGTTTAAAATGCCAACGTTTGACATTTCTTTACCAAAAGTCAATCTTCCAGAGGGTGGTGCCAAACTGAAAGGTCCAGAACTCAAGGGAGTGAGAATGGAAATGCCAGACATTGATGTCTCACTTCCCAAAGGAAAATTTGAAGGTGGCGTTGAGGTTCAAGGCCCTGATTTCAAAGGAGGAAAGTTCAAAATGCCAATGTTAGATGTTTCTTTACCAAAAGTCAATCTTCCAGAGGGTGGTGTCAAACTAAAAGGTCCAGAGCTCAAGGGAGGAAAGATGGAACTACCAGATGTTGATGTATCACTTCCCAAAGTTGAGGCAGATTTTGATATTGAAGCCCCGAAAGTCAAAGGAGGAAAGTTCAAAATGCCAACATTGGATGTTTCGTTACCCAAAGTCAGTCTTCCAGAGGGTGGTGTGAAACTAAAAGGTCCAGAACTCAAGGGAGGAAAGATGGAAATTCCAGACGTTGATGGCACACTTCCCAAAGTGGAGGGAGATTTTAACATAGAATGCCCTGAAGTCAAAGGAGGAAAAATGAAAATACCGACATTGGATGTTTCTATCCCAAAAGTCAACCTTCCAAAGGGTGGTGTTCAAATAAAGGGTTCAGGTCTTGACGGACGAAAGATTGAGATGCCAGACTTAGACATTTCATTCCCTAAGGGAAAAGCAGAAGGAGAAATAGGGATTGGTAAAGGAGGAAAGTTCCATATGCCCTCTGTGGATATTTCTCTTCCGAAAATAAAAACAAAAGGTCCAGAGATAAATACTGAAGGCCCAGATGGTGAAGGTGGAAAAGTCACCATGCAGACCATTGATGTTTCTCTTCCCAAAGCTGAAGGACATCTCGATATTGAAGGCCCTAATGTCAAAGGTGGAAAGTTCAAAACGCCATCGTTTGATGTTTCTTTACCAAAAGTCAATCTTCCAGAAGGTGATGTCAAACTAAAATGTCCAGAACTTAAAGGAAAGATGGATATCCCAGATGTTGATGTGTCTCTTCCAAAAGTTGAAGGAGATTTTGATATTGAGGGACCTCATGTCAAAGGAAGAAAATTTAAAATGCCAACATTGGATGTTTCTTTACCAAAAGCCAGTCTTGCAAAAGGTGAAGTCAAATTAAAAGGTCCAGAACTCAAGGGAGGGAAAATGGAAATTTCAGACATCGATGTATCCCTTCCCAAACAAAAAGTTGAGGGTGATGTTAATTTTAGAGGCCCTGATGTCAAAGGAGGAAAGTTTAAAATGCCATCACTCGATGTTTCTATACCAAAAGTCAATCTTCCAGAGGGTAGTGTCAAATTAAAAGGGCCAGAGTTCAGTGAAGCGATGACTGAGATGCCAGCGTTGGACATGTCATTCCCTAGAGGAAAAGCAGGAGAAATAGGATTTGGAGGGCAGGTTACCAAGGGAGGAAAATTTCACGTGCCCTCTGTTGATATTTCTCTTCCAAAAGTGAAAACAAAAGGTCCAGAGATAAATACTGATGGTCCTGATATTGAAGTTGCAAAAGTCGCCATGCCAATGGTTGATGTGTCTCTTCCCAAAGTTGAAGGAGATCTGGATATTGAAGGCTTTGACGTTAAAGGAGGAAAGTTCAAATTACCAGCATTTGATGTTTCTTTACCAAAAGTGAATCTTCCAGAAAGTGGTCTTAGAGTAAAAGGTCCAGAACTAAAGGGAGGCAAAATGGAAATTCCAGACATCGACGTCTCACTTCCCAAAGGAAAAGTTGAGGGGCATGTTGACATTGAAGGCCAAGATCTCAAAGGAGGGAAGTTGAAAGTGCCAACATTGGATGTTTCTATACCAGAAGTAAAAGGTCCAAACCTTGAGGGAAGTAAGCTTGATATTCCACACATTGATGTGTCACTTCCCAAAGGAAAAGCGGGGGGAGAAATTGGACTTGAAGGACATGTTGACAAAGGAGGAAAGTTCCATATGCCCTCTGTGGATATTTATCTTCCTAAAATGAAAACAAAAGGTCCTGACATAGAATTTCAAAGTCCTGACATTAAAGGTGGAAAAGTCACCATGCCAGCGGTTGATGTTTCCCTTCCGAAAATTAAATCCCCAGAAGTCGATGTCAGTTTGGAAGGTCCTGATGTAAAAGGTGGGAAAGTTGCCATCCCGGCAATGACTGGACTGACAGGAGAAGGTGCAGGTTCAGGCTCTTTTAAACGTGGGACAGTCAAACTTCCAACTGTTGACATCTCAGCCCCGAAGGTGGATATTGACTTTGGCCTCACCAAACCAAAAGGTGACGATGTGAAAGTGGCGCTTCTGAAACCAGAGGGAAGCAGGCCTTCTTCTGGGGGAAGTTTTGATTTGCCCAATGTTTCTCTCAAAGTCCCCAGTTTTACACTTCCCAGGTTTGGTGGCAAGTCCAAGAGTGGCCATTTGCAGGTGTCGGGACAAAGCACTGAGGTCGACATTTCTCTCGGGGAGCCATCCGTGGAGTTGGGTTTGGACAGTAAAGTGACAAGCAAAAAAGCTAAACTCAAAAAGCCCTTCATTGGAATATCCAAAACGGATGCAGATGTGTCTGTGTCTTGTCCTGAATTAGATGTCAATATAAAAAAGGGGGGCATTGACATTCCTAAACCAGATACTAGTGTTGATGTAGAAAGGAAAGGTCGCTTCCATGCACCCGATGTCACTATCAAACTCCCAAAGTTCTCCATGCCAGGATTTGCTTCAAAAGATGGAGATTTGGGAAAGCCAAGCGCTGACCTTGAAGCTCAGGCCAAGGCCAAGATGCCCTCAGTTGAGCTATCACTTCCCGCCACTAAATCACCAGAAAAGGAGGTTCTTCTCCCCAATGCAGAGGTGGACGTATTGGAGTGTGACATCCGAACCTATGAGGGAGAAATTCCCAAAAAGCCTGCTATTGATGTGAATGTGCCCAAAGTAGACCTGGCTGTGCCACTTCCCAAAATAAAACTTGAGTCCAGTTCTGAGAGAGAAGGAACAAAATTCACAATGCCTAATGTGGACTTATCCTTACCAAAAGGAAAAGTTGGCAGCATGCCAAAAAGCAAACCTTTAAAGATTGAAACACCAGAAGTTGAACTCAAAATGCAGTCAATAGACGTGTCCTTTCCCAAAGCACCAGATGCTGACTTCCATGGACATGGACAAGGCGACTTTAAGACGCCACATGCAGTCACTGACCTCCCAGAAGCGACAATCCAAAGGACAGACATATCTATCCGCAAAGACAAAGGTGATGTGCATGTAAAGGGAGAGCAAACGGGTCTGAAACTGAAGATGCCAAGCCTGGATATCGCATGTCCAAAAGGAGACCTGGAGCTGGACATGCGACTTCGGAAAGGGGACACCAAGGGGGTAGAATGTCATGGAGAAACCAACAGCAAAGTCAAAGGGCCCAAAGTCAAGGGAACAAAGTTCAATATCGGAATGCCCAAAAAGAAAACTGGTGGCAGTGTAAAATCTGAGCATGACGTTGAGAATATTGAACCTGCAGTCTCTGGTCTGACATCCACAATTCACAACGGACACAAAGAGGGAAATATTAACATCCAAATGCCAGGCGTTACGTTACCAAGTGCAAGTGTGAAAGGCAAAGAAGACTCAGAAGAAAGTGGCCTCCCGTCATCATCTAGTGCAATCCCCAGGATTCCGGACATAGACTTTGATATCGGTACAGCACAGGATGAAGAAGATGACAAATTAGGCAAGAAGATAAAAATCCCCAAATTTGGTGTCCCACTCCCGTCCCTGTCCTCCCGGGAAGGAAGAATGGAGATCCGAGGACCGGAGACCAAATCCGAAGGCCCCAAAGTGAAGAAAGCAGTTTTTGTTTTAGTAAATCCATCCCAAAGAGATGACGCCAAGGTGAAGATTCCTAAATTTCAAACAAACACCATAGAAACATCTGTTAGCACACCTGGAATGTCAGTGTATACCAGCCCATTAAGTTCAACTGACGACACACTCAAGCCAGAAGCTCCAAGTTCAAAGTTCCACTTTGAAACAGATACACGACTTCACAGGGGCTTCAAAGACGAAGAAGTGGCAGCTAGCGGAAAAGTCAAACTTCCAAAGGTGGAATTCACTTCTCCTTATGGAAAGAAAGCTTCAGGTGACGCCAGCTTGGAAACCGCAACCAGACTGGGCAAACCTTCATTGTCAGGGGAAGCTCCTAAAGGGCTCCAGATAAAACCTGGCAATGTTTCATTTGAAGGTTTTGTTGATGAGTCCTCAAAGGACGTTGTCACACAACACTCCAGAACGCAAATGCTCCATCAGGACACCTCGGCATCTCCAGCTTCTTTTACCATGGAGTTCAGCTCATCAAAAGTCCAAACCTGGAGCGAAGGAGACATCAAAGGAGACCCCCAGGGGATAGAGGCCCCCCCCTGGTTCAAGGTCCCAAAGTTCACCCTGAAACCTCACTCCACAGGTAGGCCTGGTCTCTCACCTTGAAAGTAGTTACTGTCCTGTTTGAAAATGTTATTTATTTATTTACTTTTGCCAAATAGTGCTTCTCTGTAAAACAGCTCTAGCATTCAAAGCTACTCTTCTTTAAAAGAAGACGAACATGCAACTTCTGCCAGACGTTTGGAAGTAGAAGGCTACTGCAGTCATGACAAGTGACATTAATCCACCAGAATTCTACTTTATGGTTACAATCTGATATGGGATTCTGGTTCAGGCAAACCATTTTAACATTAAAAAGGAACGAACTACAAAGCCAACGTTTCATCAACCTTCATCCTGGTGTGCTGATGAGGTGCGGAGCTGGCATCTGCTCACGTTAATTTAAGAACGTAGCTGTTTACCTTCCCAGACACCAGTGAATAGCATGTGTTCACTGTAGTGGAATTTGTGATTTTGTTTCCCTTTTATTAACTGTCATGTCTTGCTTTGTCTCTCTGCTACAAAGACTAACCTTCCCTTCTGTCTTACACGCTTCTCCAGCTGTTTTCCCTCCTCACTTTCTGTCCTTTTGGCCTGACCTCCTGGCAGGCTTCCTCCAGATCACGCCGGAGGGGTCTCCCCAGGCACAGCGGCGAGGGGAGCTGGGAGGTGAGGCCAACATGTCGGGCTCCTTCTGCCAGCACTCCTCTGACATCACCACACGCGAAGTGTCCACCCCGGGGGGAGGAGGCTCAGTTACTGTGGTCACCAAGACCACCAGGACGACGCGGCACTCCACACCTGCCGAGACCTCAGCGGGTGTTTCGGTGGCAACCACTCATCCACCATCAGACCTCTGAGGAGCCAGACACGCCTGCAAAATGAAAGCCTTTGTTTTGGTAAATACAGAGGCAACCCAACTTACGAACGAGTTACGTTCACATAGGCTGTATCTTAAACTGTTTGTAAATCGTTATTTTGCCATTTTTCTATTCTCACTAAGTTTTACATTGTGCCTGTTCTTTCTTGAACCGTTTGTTGAAAACCTAGTCAAGACAGTGTCAGTAGTGAACGGTTTGTTCCTGTACAACCCGCCATAGGTGGAAAAAAAAAACGTTCTGAATCGGTTTTACCCCTTCTGAACGCTTTAAACACCTTCACACTTAAAACGCACTTAAACAGATTAAAACACTTTTTTTAAAATTCCTTAGCATTGTTTTCACTTTCCTTCCCAAGAAATGAGACATCGTGTTGGATCACTTTGAGGAAATGAAGTCAAGACTCTTGCTTGCAGTTTTCCAAATAAAGGGCAAAGTGTGATTGCTTTAAGCTATTTATGTTTCTTTCCTAGTTGAAGTTTAAAACTGACACGAAAAAAAAAAAGAACAAAATGTTCAGCCCAATTATATACAGTATATCGTGTATCGAAAGTCCACTGGCCTAATGCTGAAATATAATGCGAAACGCCAAACGTGATCATGGAAATTAGCGATGTTACGGTAATAATCAACATTCAAAAAAATTTAACTTTAACTCACACAGAGCAGCAACACAATCCAGCAGAGCTTACAGCATATGCAGAAAGTATCTTGACACATAGTTCTGTTCAGACTTGCCTGTGTAGTGTAAAAAAAAAAAAAAAAAAAAAAATTCATACCTTAAAAATCTGCGATATAGCAGGGACAGGAAAGATTAACCACTATGAAATGGTGGTGGTTTACTGTACACTGTAGGCGCTCAATTCAAAATTCTGTCTTGGAAGTTTAAAAAAAAAGTGTTGTTTTTAGACTAACAGGGAATTTTTCACAATTTTCTAATGTAAGCAAATTGAATGTTCGTAAGTAGGGGAGTGTCTGTATTCATGTGATGAAGACTCAATCAAGCAGCATTCATTCGTAACAGAGTCAGATATATTTACTTTTTCATTTTTCATCGTGCCATTTTTTTTTTTTTTTTTAGTTACTGCATCTCCAAGTGTGTTAGTGTAGTTTGAGTTATTTTCAACATTTAACATGCTATGTCAAAGGAGATTTATTGTGAAGAGATTTCATTGTAGTTGTAGTGACATTTGACAGTACTGCCAGAGGACGATGTAAATACAAGTTTGTCCCTTGTGGACGTAGGTCATTCATTACTATTTTTACAATATTCTTCGAGAGTAGCAACAGGAATGTTTTTGTCACATTGGTTTGTGTGTCTTTGGGGTTTATTTGAGATTGTTACACATTTTTGTATTTTTAGCTTGTTAGTCATGCCGTAAAACTTTTTCTTTTTTTTTTTGTCATTTGTGTGGATCATACCTGTAAACTTCCGACTGGTGGTCAATCATGCAGACCGAAATGCTGCTGTTTTAGTTCATATTTTTATTTTTCATGCATCTCAAGTGAGGAATATGTTGCTCAGTTTAAATTATTCTTCTCATATATACTATTTGGACACAGTTATCAACTCTTTGCGTGGAATAAGCAGTATAGATAAGAAATTAATGGCTGGTCATCTATGTGGTGAATATAAACCTCACCCTCATATTAACTAAGAATAGTGTGTCTGATAAAGTAAAAATGACTGTTTTTAAGACATTACAGTCTGTAAAAATAGAAAACCGCAGCACTACAGCCCGTCATCACATTTCGTATGACAGATATTTGAGAATGTATAATCATTTACGTTTTTGACTTTGATTGCTGTGCCTGTTTTGCAAGTGAAAGTTACATTTTATTTTACATTTTTCAAATGCTGGATAAAGATTGTATGTCTGTGCACACCGAGATGTTTGTGGAGAAACTTTGACTTCTGGTTTGAATGAGTATGTATGTGTTCAGTGCTACAGTATATGTGTTGTCACACCTGCATTGGAGAGATTGTTGGTGAAGATATTACATAAATAAATTAATATATTCACACAGACATCGTGTATATTTCAATAACAGTGTGACAAGTTGCAACACACATCATTTGTGATTCAACACAAAAATGAAATAAACATTTGACTAGCGACCAGATGCTACGGTTCAACAGAATTCTTCTGGCTCTTGTTACTAGGCAAAATGCAAAGGGCCCACTGAATCAAATCTGCCCAGTAAGAAACATCTTGACTCGATCAAATTGTCCACCATTTATTTGTATAGGTGACGTCATTCATATCCGGAAGTTGATCTTCAAGATTAATTAACATGACTAAAATAAAACTCTTTGCAAAGAATAAGGACATGTGTACTTACAAACAGTAAATTTACAAAATACATACGGCAATTCACGCGGACATATTAACGTGTACGTGCTCTAATTGTTATGTAATTAATTCGTCCAATAATTACCATTAGCGCAGTTAGTAAATAGGAAGAAATTGCCATAAACTCGAGGTACACGTCTGTTCCAGAACTAAAACAGTTTGCTAATAGGACATAATTCGAATGATGGTGTATTTTATTCATTAAATGCCCTTTAAAAAATGTGAAAAGATGACCGAAGAACTTAACTCAGCGACTGAAGTTAATCAAGGCTTCCCGTCACTCCCCGAGTCAAGGCACTGCTAATAGATCGCTGCACAATAGATGTAGAGAAGCGGTGAATTAAGAAAAAATGGAATGGAAAAAAAATAATGCAAATGAAAAAATGGATGGATGGTGTTTTTTATGTGCTTGCCTGGTTTGTGTATTTGTATTATCTGTGAAATTGTGTAATTCTGTATTTTAGTCATGAATGACTTTTCTATATGAAGCGCTTTATGGAACAATAAGTTGAACGATAGTAATGATTCGTTTTTTTCGGCTCGTTTCTGAGCACAGGCGGACACCGGAGAAACAGAATACTGTAATCAGAAAATAAGCAGCACAACAACAATAAGAAACAAAATTGACTTACTTGCAAATAAAAACAGCAACATTTCATCAGCGCAACCACACAATCTTTTCTCCCCCCCCCCCCCGTGCAAATTCATTTTAAACGTAATTACGCCATGACGTCATCGCGCAAAAGTAATTTCATTTATTTCGCAATTTAGCAATCTTTAGCAACGTAGCACTGTCCACTGACCAACGTTCGGTCATTTCATTGTTATTTACAGTAAGCAATACGTGATATTTTAACATTTTTGTGATCAATTTCACTTTTTACCCCTTTCCTGAGTAACAGCTCCATGGGCTCCGCCTACAGCCCCCACCGCTGGCGGCTGCACGGGGGAGGCTGGCTGCGCTTACGAGTACGTGGAGACGAGCTGCGCTGATGATGCGGATGCTTGCATGCGTTGCGTGTCGCAGATGACGCGCAATGGCCGCAGTGGTGCTGCAACTGGTACTGTTACTGGTGCCGCTAGGGAGGAGAGGCTGACGATGCTGACGGAAGGCGGAGGAGGAGGAGGAGGTGGAGGAAAAACGCCTTTGTGGTGTTGTCGTGTCTATTTTAAGCCAACGTGGACCGGGCGAACATTCGGTGGATCATCAAGGCCCACAACTAGGATGAAGATGCGGCACAGTCCGAGGAGGACGCGTATCCTTCGCCTGTGATTACGAGAGAGACGGGCGGCAATTTAATCATCGAATTGGGTGAGAAATGTTTGTATAAAATGTTGTTTTTCTTGGTCCAATGACGTAAGTGATGTGCACGCGTGGATACGACCGAGCGTGACGGATCACGAACGACTATTGCGTTTGAGTGGTTAGCATGTCTGTCACACAGTGCTGGGGTTGGGGGTTCGAATCTTGTCTTAGGCCTTCCTGCATGGAGTTGCGTTGCTGTACTCCCACAATCCAAATACATGTATGTGACGTTCAATGAAGATTCTAAATTCTGTGATGTAAGTTTTCTCTGCATGTGCCCTGCAATTGGATGGCAACCAGTCCCAGGTGTACTCCGCTTCTCTCGCCAAAATGTCATCTGCAATATAATAGATACATGGTTGTTGAGGCATTCCATCTCATGAAACCCAAAACATTTCTCAAAAATGTAGTTTTTCTTGAGACTATTTCCCTAAAAAAAATCTGACTAGAAAAGATGGGGTTTTTTTTCAAACATGCAATTTATTTTTGAAAATATGTCATTTTATTCTCAAAATAAATAGAATACTTTTGTTGGAAAATGATTCCTTACTCTTTATTCATCTCCATTCTAAATTGAGTTTTTATTCAAAAAATACATGACTTTTGTCTAAAATGTAGCGATTTGCTCAAAGAAATGTTTCTTTTCTTGAACCAAAACAGCACTTTTTCTGGCAAGATTACAACTCACTGTGTAATGATTATTTTTATATTCACCGTGGCTTTAACACTCCTTTGTAATTTGGGGATTTAAGGTTAAATATGCAAATAAAAATGATTTATGTTTTCTTTCTTCGGGTTGATGATAAAAATGGACAAAAACAAATGTGGCGCTTCAACACATCCATATAAACTTCCTGTTATATCTCCTTGGCATACCATAGGGGCCCACGGAGAAGCGTTGCTGTTATTGCACTTCAGTTGGACATCATTTTCCAAGCGATGCTGCCCCCTTTAGAGACTTTTTGAATTACTTCTGGCTGAAGACCATCACAATATGCACTCCAATTATTAAAGGAATAGCACGCGTCTCTAAATGAGGCTCACGTGGAGCACCATGCTGCAGCACAACAACAACAACAACTACCCTTGCCTGAAGGCATCACCCCGCGAGACGCCTCTGAAATGCTCCTCGACCTCGCAGCCGTTCCCCAGCAGGCTGGAGCTGGGTCTGGCGGACCTACCGCTCATCCGGGGCCTGCGGGCCTGGGCACTGTGCTCCAAGAACCGGCAGAAGAGTGGCACCACACCGAGCGGCGGACGAGCACCAGTGTCACCCCCCACCGGTCGGAGGACTTGTTGTCGTCCCAGGCCGGCGGATGTGCACTCTAGTGGGGCGTGGGATTCAGGGTACGGCCTCCCCCAGGCCGCGGAGGGCACCCTGGTAACGGTGGCGACGCTCAAGACATCTGAAGGCAACGGGAAGACGCAGACTCAGTGTCTCTTTCTGCGGAATGACAAAGGAAGTTGTTTGTACTCCACATCTGGTGGTACAAGCGGGGGTGGAGGGTGGCTGAGAGGGAAGTCTGTTTCCGGTACTGGGCGTCGGGACGTTTCTGCTCTCCAAACGCAGACTGCACCGAGTCGAGTCCGAGTGCGGTCAGGCCGCAGATGGAGAAAGTCCACTCACCCGATTGGCCGAGAGAAAAGACATCCTGATGAGGAAGTCACAAAGAAACAGGAAAAACAAAGCAAAGCCGGCCTGCAGCGCCTTACCAGTCCCAAAGAGGAAGTCTGTCAAGAACATAGAGGACTGCGGGGGTCTCCTGAATGCCTTCAGAATTTGTCAAATGAAGGAAGAACGAGAAAGTCCATGTACACAGACACCCAAGACAACAAAACACTTCCAGAGGAGGAAGTCAAAGTGGAACAGGAGGAGCCACATAAAGTTTGTCAAGACTGTGTTGTCAGTCAAGAAGGGGAAGCCAGTCAGAAAAGCAGAGGATCCAGGGGTAGTCCTGATTACCATGAGAATCCCTCCAATGCGGAAAGCCAGAGAAAGTCCAGTCATGCGGCCGGCCGAGTCAAAAGACTTCCTGAGGAGGAAGTTGCTGAGAAAGAGGAAGAGACACACAAAGTGGAGCTGCAGCGCATTACCAGTCCAGATGAGGGTCAGAAAAGCTGTGGACCGGGTGGGACTCCTGGATGCCTTCAGAATGCTTCCAACGAGGCAAGTATCGGGAAGTCCAGTCACGTGGCTAGCCAAGGCAAAAGACTTCCTGATGAGGATGTCACAGAGAAGCAAGAAAGGGGAAACAAACTGGACCTGGCCTGTCGGGTCAGTCCTCACGAGAGAGCCTCTAGCAAAAGACGAGGATTGGTTGGGAGTCCTCAATCCTTTCTAAATGCTTTCAGTGTGGACAGTGAGAGGAAGTCCAGTCATGTGGCCTGCCGAGACAAAAGGCTTGCCGATGAGGAAGTCACAGAGAAACAGGAAGAGCCAGACAAAGTCAGTTCGGAGGGCGTCGCGAGTCACAAAGGGGGTCTCTGTCAGGAAAGTCCAGAGCTGGGAAGGAGTCTTGGATGCCTTCAGAAGCTTTCAAAAGAGGAGAATGCCAGGAAAGAAGGCAGTCTTAGGAGAGAGATAACAGAAACGAGGAGGGAGTGGGAAGAGAATGCAGAGGAGGGCGAGGAGGGGAACGGTCTCTGTCAGAATGATCCCTCTATTTTGTTGGCGGCCAACCCAGACCTGGAATCTTCTCACTCTCACTTGAAATGTCAGAGAGGCAAAGACTCCATAAACATAAGAAAGAGACGGGATGAGGCACAGCATGCCATCCAGGCGCCTTTTGATGACATCACAAGCCGATGCACGGAGGAGCCCTATCCCGCAGGGGGCAGCACTGGCCAAGCAGAAGGTGAAGTTGGGAGAGCGCTCAGGAGCAGCGGCGCGCACTCGGAGCCGGAGCACAATGTGACAAACACAACAAGGGCATCTTCTTCCTTTTCTTCTTTTTCAAGAAAAAACTTCAGAGTGGACTGTGAGAAGGGGAAAGAAGCTGACTGGATGCCAACTGAGTTTGCATGTGGGTTCATGGTAACTCCCGCTGGTCCCTGCCTGCATAATTCCAACCCCACCCAGCCCGACTTGGGCACCATGGCAACAAGTCAGAACTGCACCAAGGCAGAAGAAGTCGAAAAAAGAGGCCAAGACAGGATAGAGCTGGAGAGCCGGGACGTAAAACAGGAGGAAGATTGGGACGAGGAAGATGAGTTTGGAGGGTTCGTGCAAGCAGAGGGAGGAGAAGAGGGTAGCCAAGGTATCGCCGTTTCTGTCCCGGTGCACTGTGGGAGCTCAGCAGGTGAGTTCACACAACTTTTAGGGCATGTTTACGCACCAGACACTTCATTAAGTACATTAGACAAGGAGACTTTGCTAAAAAAATGGACAGTCAACTCATATTACAGTACTAAATTGTCAAATCCAACTATATAACTCTTCTGTCTGATATACATATTTTTCCTTCTCGATACATTCCCCATATTTTAAATCTTGCCATGTGTTTGACAACTTCTACATGCCTTATACCGTATTCGCATGAGTAAAAGATTCCAAGTGAGGTCAGACTATGAGGCTGAGCTGTTGGATTACTCTCTTGCTTACTTCCTCGCCTTTGATCCACCTAATAACATTTTTGGAATTACTGCTCGGGATTAGGCCGGCTTCTTTCAAAAGGTTAGGCTTCTGTTTTTAAGACCATACTGGGACAAAATATAGTGGGACGCCACCAGTTATTGCATCAAATGGACAAATCTCCTTTTTCAACATTGTATTGTAATGTTTGTGTGCTTTCAACAGCATTCGAGAGCAGTGACCTCTCTGGGGAGTTGTGTGACTGGAAGCCCACCTGGATGGGAAATGCGGACGCGTGGGCAGCCTTTCCTCAAGACGTGGGCGACGAGGGTCGGGATCTTGTGGGACAGTGGTGGCCTGAAGAGGCAAGCACGGACAGGGTCTGTCATGAACTGGTAAGGAGGTTGTCTCTTCTTGGAAGTGCAAACACATTCCATGGCTTGTCACAGATTGCAGACTGACATTTGCAGGGCAACAGACTATTCCCATGACACTTACAAGTAATTTCGAATATAACAGCTGTAACAGTTTATGCCACTGTCATGACACTTGCCAGTCCCATGACATTCCCATGCCACTTCCCTAACATTTATTCCTACTTCCACTACACTTCGATAACACCCTACACCATTGCGTTAACACGTCTCGATCACTCCCATGACACTTCCAAAATACCTCTCAGACCGTATTCCCAGTCCACTTCTGAAAAAATTAATGCCACTCCCATGACATTCCCACTCCACTTCCATGACACTAAAAGCCACACCCATGACACTTCCCAGTGCACCTGCACTACTGTCATGAGACTTCCTAATGTTCTGAACAATTGTCAGTACATCCAATAACATTTTTGTTCTGCCACTCCCAGAACATTTCCCTTAAACTCCTGGTCCTCCTCCAGACTATTGCCATGACAATCCCAGTCTACGTCCGTGAGATTGATGTGGTCTCTCCCTCCTGCAGGGTCTTCTCTTTGTCACGGCCTTTCCCTCGGTGCCCAACTCGGCCCCCCGCCATCCTGCTGATATTATTCCCACACTGACACAGCTTCTCGCAGGAAGCAGCAGTCATGAAAAGCGGTCAGTCAAACATGGGACTTTGAATTTTTTCTCAAATGTGGAAATGAGGGCGGCACGGTGGTTGACTAGTTAGCACGTCCTTCACAGTGGAGAGATGCAGGGTTAAATTCTGGCTCTGGCCTTCCTGTATGGAATAATTTTTATGTTCTCCCCATGCCTGTGTGGCTTTTCTACGGGTACTCTGGTTTCCTCCCACATTCGAAAAACATGCATGGTAAGGACACGGAACACTCTTAATTGTCCCCAGGTGCGATTGTGAGCGAGGATGGTTGTTCGTCTATGTGTGCCCTGCGATTGGCTGGCAACCAGTTCAGGGTGTCCCCCGCCTACTGCCCAAAGACAACTGGGATAGGCCCCAGCACGCCCGCACCCTTGTGATGATAAAGTGGATTAGAAAATTGGATGGATGGATGGTGGAAATGACTCTATCGTGTGGCCATATGATGAACTGCAACATAAAACAAAAATCAGGGTAGGGCTTAAAAATATGAGTAATTTAATCTCATCTTTTAATTTTAATGAATGTATTATAATTATCTCTTCATGATCAAATATGATCATTAAAAAATATATTTTATGTAAAATGATTTATTACTTTGTAAATAATAAAATTATCAAACGATTTACCTAATACGAAAATGTAAAACTTCTAATTTTCCAGCATTTTTAAGATCTTTTTTAAAATTTTATATAGAAGTGATGATTTTAATAGGATTTGTTTTAATTATTCATCATGAATCTAATACTAATCAATGGTGAAATAACATTTGAAGGCTACATTATTTTAGTTTTTTATTTTTTGACAATAACACATTTTGAATTAAACAAATTAATATATACATCCAAATGATCAAATTTTAGTTAAGACATGCAAAAGTGAACGCAACAAATATTACAGGACTTCTGAAAATGAAGCACACTTTGCCTGCCCCTCCACTAGGTGGTGTTGAATGACACTTGTCATGACAATTTTTTTTGATGACAAATACTTTTATGGTGGACTCTCCAGGCTGTTGGACGGCTTCCACGACATCAGCAAAATGTCAGTCCACAAGTACAAGCGAGGCGGCGGTGGTGTCAGCATGTCCCGAGGTCTTCTGCTGAGCTCATTACACATGGAGCAGCCCAACAACGTAAGTGCACGCACATGCAGTTGATTTAAAAAGTCTACACACCCGTGTTCAAATGCCAAATTCTTGTGACATAAAAAAATTAATAAATGAGATGCTCTATCATTTCAAAAGGTTTTCCAACGTTAATATGAATGACCCAACAAAAAGAAATAAATCACTGAGAGTGGAAGTCAAAATAACCAATTGAGATATTGTTGCTGCACAAGGGTGCATCCCAGCGTTGTGGCCAAACATCCTGCTCATGTCAAGAAATGTATTTTTTGTTGTTTTGTTGTTATCAATGTCACCTGGTAGTACCAGTAAAGTTTCAAAGAACTGCAATTTTCTGCCAGATTTAAGTTTCAGATAGGGCCACGCCTTCCTGTGTGGAGTTTACATGTTCTCCTCCTTAATCTGGTCATCTGTTAATATGGAGCAAAAAAATAAACAAAAAAATACGATTTTTGTCGGTCAGCAGATTGATCAGTCCAACGGTAGTTCAGGTTTTAAAGTGTGCTAATTGATTATTCAATTGAATTTTGCTTGATGTTCTCATTACAGGAGAGCCGAGCCGTCCATCAGTGGTTGAATCGACGTCCCTCCCCCGGACTGCTCTCACCCAATCGTTACGCTCACAATGCGGTGGCCAAGCGGCGTCTGTCCTGCGACTACAACAGGAGCAGTCTGGCGTAATTGTTTTTTGTTGGTTTTTTTTTTTTTTTTGGGTGGGTTTTTTAAAATCTGGTGATGGCATAGACTCACCTCTTTACTTTAACTTATTTTTGAATTCAATACGGCTTGTGGTGGGTTTTGGGACATAAAAACAGAAATGTGATTTTTAGGTGAGGACCGCAAACTTTTCACAGCTTCACCACATGTATGAAAAAGGAAATGGGTGTCACGTGTCGGTCGCAGCCACTATTTACCAGAAATTTCTTCAGCTTTCATGGCGCCACATTTCTTCTTCCCTCTTCAGTAAATTTTTTTTGTTAACAATTAAATTTTACACTGTTAAGCTTCATCATAAGCTAAGGCATATGGATAATATGGCAGATTGTTGTCACAAAAATTACTGTTCTGCCTTTGTTCTTCTCGTCTTTTCACCAAGTGTATATTTCCATTTTACACCAACATTTGTGTTTTTTAAACTGTGAATTACAAGAATCCCCTCATATAAAAGAGATTGCTGTCACAGGTACAACACAGCCACTACTTACTAGAAATTACTGTGGCTTTTAACACTGCTTTTCATGTTGCCACATTTATACTCGTTTTTTTTGTTTTTGTTACATTTGAATACAATAAGTTTTATTTGAACGCAGCAAATTCTCATCACATATGAGACACAGACAGAAATTGTTGCAACTCCTTCTCTTGTCTTTTCAGCAATTGGAATGTTTATGTTTGGATCATGGCCGCCATTTTCTTTTTTTAAATACTGCAACACAAAGGATCCACAGCCCAAACAAGGGATTAAAGAAGTAGATTGTTGTCACATGTAGGCCACCACTTGCCAGCAATTCCTGCAACCCATTTAATGTTGCAGAAGCACACTTTCCTTCTCGTCTGTTCTGTCTGTTCTGATTTTCAAGGCTTACATTGTGTTTCTGTTACACTGAACACACTAAAAAGTTGGATCTGGCACTATTTAGCTTCCCCATGAAAAGTAAGGGAGATTATTGTCACATGTAGGACAGAGCCAGAAACTTCTGCAACTTACTTTATCTCGACCTTTCAATAAATTGAACTTTAAGTGAACCGCAGCCGCCATTTAGCTTTTTTTGACAAACACTTGAATACAAGATTTCCCAGAGGCCTGAAAAGGGATTCAATATATAAGATTGTTTTAACGTGTAGAACAGCTACAAGGTCCCTCAGAGCTTCAATTCTTCTCATCTTTTCACTGAGTTTTTATCATTTGCACCACCATTTTTTTTAAACAGACGAATACAAGACTCCCCAGAGCTCGTAAGAGGTTGTTATCATTTGTGGGACGTCGCCATAAATTCCTTCAGTTCCTTTGATGGAGGCTGCACCGCTCTACTTGTTTTGTTCATTGCAAACTGATTAGCTTTCTGGTTGCTCAGATGTATGAGGAATTTGGGAGATTTTTGTCATATGTCGGAGACAGTCAGAACTTGACAGGAATTCCTGCATTTTACATGTTGCCATGATTCTTTTAGTTTTTTTCAACTTTTCAATTGATTTTTTTTTTCTTTTTTGCACAGTTTAGCTTCCCCATACAACCCAGTCATAGAAAGAATATGGCGGATTTTTGTCACACAAGGACTCAACCACAAATCTCTGGATCTTTTTTTCAGGAAGTTGATTTTTTTTTTTAAAGTAAAGACCACAACCACCGCTACTCCACATAGATACGGTGGCCCGAGCAGGAAGTCACCTCACTTCCAAAGTGGACTCATCTCATTGGCTGTGTTCTACTTCCTGTCGCTTCCATGCTGTCGATCAAAGTGTGTGACTTTGGGAATGTGCTATGTTTACTTTGTGGACTGGATGGCTCGACGGGTTTGTTTGTGTTCTCCTGCTGTGTCTGTAGCGTCACAATTTTCATTGCAAAGAGGAAGGCCTTGACCAGTTCATCAATAAATTTAATCGTATTTCCTCATCACATGCTCTGCGTATTGTTGATCAGATAACGTTCTTTCATTCATTCTGAGGCGCTTAACCTCACGATGGCCAGCTGTCTTCGGGCAGTAGGCGGGGGGGTCAACTGTGAAATGGATGCCAGCAAATCGCAGGGTACACATCGACAAACAACCATTCACACTCACAATCACACCAAGGGATCATATAGCGTGTCCAATGAACCTACCATGCCTGTTTTTGGACTGCGGGAGGAAACCGGAGTACCCGGAAAAAAGCCACACAGGCCCGGGGAGAACGCGCAAACTCCACACAGGAAGGAATCAGAACCTGCACCTCTCCACTGTGAGGCGGACATGCTAACTAGTTGACCGCCGTGCCAACCCTCAGATAACATTAAAAAACTGAATGTTTAATTCTAACACACTTTCAGTGGTGATGGCAAGTTGACCTCGGCAGGCAATGCTGTTTTGGTTAGCATGGAACGTCAAATCACTTGCAATGACTGCATAAACCAGAGGATCATTTTTCGAAGGAATCCAGAATATCTAGACATCTCTGTCATTTTTCACATGTATTTATGGCACGTGTATAATTGTACGAGTGTTACATCACAGGAGCAGATGCATGAATGAAAATTAAATGTACCGTATTGGCCCGAATATAAGACGGCCCTGATTATAAGACGACGCCCTCTTTTTCAAGACTCAAGTTTGAAAAAAGACTTTTTGAACACCAAATTAATTTTTATACAGAAAATAATTACGGTACATCTGAAACAAATGATTAAAACAATATATTTGAGAGAAAAAGCATGTTATTTTGCCTCATTCAAATCTAAAGTGCAATCACATTCGTAAATGAATGGCTTCTGGTTTTTGAAATGTAAATTACATCATATAACTTCTCCTCAGCTGCCGGTTAACCTGGCCGATCTTTGACCCACTGTTCTCCAGATTGTCACGTTTCTCCATTTTCTGTTATCTCTTCTATTATTTTCTTCTCTTTTCCTTCTTACCGCTATTTTTTATTTTTCTTCTTCGTGCTACGCTATTTTTATTTTTCGTGGCAGGCGTTCACTTTGGCCTGGGGAGTTAACTTCAGCATTCGTTTCAATGATATCTGGCGCCATCTAGCGTCGTCAATGGGTATAATGTCTAGAACCTCGAATATAAGACGACCCCCACTTTTTCAGTCTTATTTCAATGCAAAAAACACCGTCTTATATTCGGGCCAATACGGTAAATGCACGTATGTAACAACAGTCAGCAGAAATGCAGAATGCGTATGAGATGTGTTTAGATGCCATTTTTTGTGTGTGATATATTTTAAAAAAAAAGACCATGATAAATCATTTTAGAACTTTCTGGAGAACTTGGACAAATGGGGATTTTTTTTCAGATGGGGTCGGGAGGGTGGGGGGGGGTGTAAACAACTGAGATAATGTTGTTGCTTAAGTGACAATATGTTACTCACCAGTCTCCACATGGCTGCAGCATCCCTCAATCTCCTCAATGATAAAATGTATCCCTGCGAAGAATAAAGGAGAACCTGTTTTGGGTTGTTTTTACACTTCTTCGCATGACTCCTGCTGACCGATGCATTCAATCCAGCGTGTTTTTTTGCAGTTTCGCAGGGACTCTTAGACCTGACCTGGAATTGCATCTTAAATTTACGGCCTATTCATAACTGTGTCTTCTTTGTCCCGAGAAGGTTCCTCACACATGGATGCTAAGGCCATGCTGTAGCTCGGTCACGTTTTTTCTCATCCCCCTGCTAATCACTTCTAGTCAAAGTGTGTTTAATTTTTATGCTCTTTTGAACTGCAAGGAAAGAGTTAAGCGCACAATTTGCTGAGTCAGGCCCGCAGCAGGATGAAGAGAAGCGCTTTAAGCTACAGAGGAAGCAAAACAAGGTTGCCTTAAAAGAACACACCAAGAGAGAAAACACAAGTAAGGCATACAAGACACGTGTGCACAAACGCTCATGTGATCCCAAGGACAGTCTGCGTGGAAAACAACATCAGCAAATGAATTTGACATCTTTGTCATGTGTGCCAGTCACAAGAAAGCAACTGCAAGCGTTCTAATGGATTTGTTCAAACGCGTCAGATAAATGGTGTCTGCGATTTTAGTGGGAGCACAAAAGGAGAAAACAAAAAAAGTCGGTTGTGAGTCACATGTTCTGTGCATTTAGTGACAAGATCTATGGACACCTCATTGATGCCATTGTGAAATAAGTTTCACAGCGTAACACGAAATTGGATGGACATGAAACGAAAATGTCTCACAGAAATAGATGGAGGTCACAATTTTTTTAATACGATACCCTGAAAAGTTACAGCCCCGCCCCATCCCCCCTGACACTAGTTTGACCAAAGGACATGTAATTGTATGGACATGTCTACTACAAAGTCCATCCATCCATTATCTGATCTGCTTATCCTCACGAGGGTTCTATTATAAAGTGACGCACGAGAGTGTATCAAGGCTCCACGCTTGAAATGGAACAATTGGCTTAAACCACCCAGGGGCAGGGTGGCCACTGGAAAGTTCAGAAAAATATAGTAATTTTCCCACATTCCAGAAACATGCATGGCAGGTTGATTGAACACTCGAAATTGTCCCGAGGTGTGATTGTGAGCGCAAATGGTTGTTCGGCTATGTGTGCCCTGCCATTGGGTGGCAACCAGTTCAGGGTCTACCCCGCCTGCTGCCCAAACGCAGCAGGGATAGGCTTCAGCATGCCGGCGGCCCTTGTGAGGATAAGCGGATCTCAAAATGTTCAATTTCAAGCATGGTTCCTTAAAAATTTTTGGTGCGTCTTGTTGTGATAGACATGCTCACTCAATTTTGTGTCTAGGGGTGAAACTGGGGTCTAGGGGTCAGGGTCTAATACAGTGGTTCTTAACCTGGGTTCGATCGAACCCCAGGGGTTCGACGGAGCCTCTGTCATGGAGGTTAAGACACACCCGACTCAACATGTCAATTAGTTATGACACGCCAGCTTGGCCATCACTGGCTGGAGATGATCACTTGGCATTGCTTGTCCAATCAGTGCTGTGGGAAATTTAGTTCTCTTTGTAGTCAACGTGTGACTGTCGTGACATTACGTTGTACAATTAAAAAAAAAAAAGTTGACTTATCTCTTGAAACTTTATATACTTTTTTCCGTTTTTTTTCTTCTTTTTTACGTTTTTTTCCACCAATGAAGAGTTCGGTGAATGTGGATATTAACTGGTTGGGTTCGGTACCTCGAAGAAGGTTAAGAACCACTGGTCTAATATTTTCAAATTTTTTGGTGGGTGATATTCGGTGAGTTTTGAGGTGCTGCACTGGGAGACCTCTAAAATCTTTCATCATGGGACATGCACTTGCAAAACATTGGTGAAGTTTTGTGCATGCTAAGGCCCCCAAAAGATGCTTCACTTGTTGGAAGAATCATAATCAAAGGTGTCAAAATATAAAGCTAAATACGAGAAACCCTGCCAAAGTTTGGCTTTAGCCACAGGTGCTTCTACTCAAGAACTCATTTACCTGCCAGTTGAGTTGAAGCACTTGTTGCTAACGCCAAACTGTGGCAGGGTATTTACTTTCTGGACCTGGATTTGACACCTCTGGCCACGTTTGTAAAGACAAACACAACCCCCACCCTCTCTAATATTTTCTATAAAATATTGTTACATGAATAAAAGACAATGTTATTCAAAAGCGAATAGTATTGTCGTAGTTTTGACTGACTTTGGGATTACATCGCTTTAGATGGTACAGGTGTACCTAATAAAGTGTCCGATTGGCACTTGTGCAGAAAGACAACCGACACAAAAACGAATAAATACAGCGTGTCCGCCGTCGAGTACTTTTCAGACCAATATCGACAAAGCCTTTTTAGAATTTTAGTTGATCGATTGTGTAACGAGATCATGTGATACCGTGGATCCAGGATGCAGGATGAATGTCCGGGAGGAACCCCTCCTCCTCGCCGGCGTGTGGGAGGAGGACGCGGGAGAAGGGGGGCGTCGCAGTCCGCGATCGGCCCCCTCAAAGTTTCATCGAAGAGGCTGAAGTGTCCTCTTTCCGGTTCGGTGGCAGATATGCACCCCCTGGGCAAGTCGTGGCTGCTCCTCAGCGGCTTCGTCCTGTTTTACGTCATCTACCTCCTGTTCGGCGGGCTGGTCTTCTCCAGCCTCGAGCGGCCCGTTGAGGAGCAGCTCCGTCGCGACGTGGACACCCTGAAGCAGCGTTTTCTCAACCAGAGCTGCGTGTCCGCCGCCGCCCTGGATCACTTTGTGGGCCAGGTGCTGGCCGCCAACAGGTATGGCGTGGCGGTCTTCCCGAACGACTCCTCTGACGCGTCCAACTGGGACTTGACCTCGGCCATGTTCTTCGCCAACACGCTGGTCACCACCGTGGGTAAGTCACGCAAACTTTTTTTTTTGGGGGGGCTTCCCTCATATCATCTCCCGTCCATACTTAATCTCGACCTCTTCTCGGAGACCTCAACCCTACGTCAAGAAGCTTCGATGAGAAGGCTCCATTTTGACCAAATTTTACCACGTGGGTCCTTCCGTTCATCACATTTGCGACAAAACGGAAAAGATAAAGATCTGATAACACTCTCCCGCTAATACTAATGAGACCCTCAGGCTCAATAGTCCTCCAAGTGCTTTAATTGGCGCGTTAATTTGTTATCACTGAGAGGGAAATGTTATCTGATTTTGACGTGTCAGGTAATAACGTAACTCAACATCGAGGTGCATTTGGGACAATAAATTCAGGAGTTATGTGATCTCGGACGGTAGATGAAGGCAACACGAGGTTTGTTTAAAAGTTCGTGATGTCACTTGCGCAAAATGTTGATCGCTGTTTTCCAAAATAAAAGTAGATGTTTACAATGTTTTATATTGTATTTGCATGCACAAAATAAATTGAAAAAAAATGAACTGTACACAGTACAGAATGCAATATAAAATATAAGCATATATCCAACTGCATATATGCTGCATAAGGTGGCTGTGCTATTTAAAATGGGTGAGTGGGGGTGAGTCCAGGTTTTCAGGTTCTCTATTCAATAGCCTGACAGTAGTCTGCAGGAACGAGCGACGTTACCGCTCCTTCATGCAGTGCGTGTATCAGTCTCTGGCTGAAGGAGCTGCCCAGGGCTGTCAGGGCGGCCTGGAGGGGTGGGAGGGTCTGTCTATCATAGCTGTTAGCTTAGCTAGCATCCTCCTTTTGCCCACCTCCTCCAGAGTGTCTAGGGAGCAGCCCAGGACAGAGCTGGCCCTCCTGACCAGTCCGTGTTGGTAGACCAGTCTAGTTTATTGTTGACAAGAACACCCAGGTACTTGTAGGAGGTCACCCTAATGGGCGGTTTTAATTGATTAACGCAAGCCCTTGTGGATGACTGACAGTTTTCTCTAGAAAATCTGTTCCCAGATGCACATTTGCGCGCTAATTGATACCCTGCTGAAAACACACTTGACCTGTTTTGGCGGCGCCAGACTCAAATTTGTCTGCCGTGTTACTCTGCGCGTAGTTGGCATCTGAACCTGAAACATCAGCAGTGATAATTTTACAGTTTGAGCCCTGCGAATCCCAGGGACTCGCTGATCAGAAAAGTATGAGTCCCATTATGCATTTCGAGAGTCCCAAATTTCGAATTCTGAAATGGTCTAACTTATTCAATGGCATATGATAACACAAACAACAACAATATACACTGATAATAAGTTTATTTCTTATAAACAAATGCTGCAAAAAATTTAATAATTCAATAATATTATCGCAAAAAACGATCCAACTTTAGCTGCTTCCTCTGTGATATCTCCGCAATAAACTTTCGCAACACTTGTTTTAATGTTACACAACTTGGCAATCGTCTGCTTTCCACGAGGTGAAGGCCGATCTCGCCAATCTCGTCTCGCGAGGACGGAAAACTCGTCACGCGCGAGATTACTTAACGCGAGATAAAAACAACAATGGCGGTGATTGTCAAACTGCCATTGTTGCTGGAAAAAAAGATTTACCGTAGTTTTTTTGTTTTTTTTTTGACTGAGAAAGATAGACAAACAAATAAGGGACAAAATTATTAATTGTTTAAAAATTGGCGAAAAAATAGTTGATGGGAAAAATACAAATGTTGAAAAAATACCAATATATGTATATATTACAAAAAAAAATACTTGAATAAAATCTTAGAAAAAAAAATTTAATTGCTTGTCTCGTACAAGGGATTTTTTTTAATGTAATTTTGTGTGTGTGTTGTGCAGGTTATGGTCATACCACGCCACTGTCGAACATGGGCAAGGTCTTCTCCATCGTGTACGCTCTGCTGGGCGTGCCCTTCACCATGCTTGTCCTGACGGCGTGCGTGCAGAGGCTGATGTATCCTCTGGTGGCGGCTCCCCTCAACCAACTCCAGCGTTGCGGCCTGGAGGCCCGTCGGGCGGCTGGCGTGCACTTCCTGGCGCTGTTGGCGCTGGTGCTGCTGTGTTTCTTTGCGGCTCCGGCGGTCGTGTTCCACGCCGTGGAGGGTGGTTGGTCCTTCCTGGATGGCTTCTACTTCTGCTTCATCTCGCTGTGCACAATCGGCCTGGGGGACTTTGTGCCCGCTGCCAGACCTGGGCAGAATTTCAAACAGCTCTACCAGGTCGCCGTCATGGGTGAGTACACGTCACGCCCAGGTCAGTTTTTCCCAACGTGTCTTGAGTCACATTTTACATGCGAAAAAATCTCAAGGCGCACCACTAAATAAAAATGGCATAAAAACTGGAGGAAAAGGTTAATTATTGGACCTTCTACCATCGAATACTGTACAAGAACATGTGTTTGTTCTGCTTGTCATTTTACATCTGTGGCATAGACAGATGCTCAAACACGCGTTGGTTGGGAATCAAATATTTTTAGACCAATTAAATGAAATTTTAAAAATTCCCACCACACTTGATCTCTCACAGAACAGTAATCTGCTGCGGGTTGAGAATCGCTGGTCATTCTGTTTAAAATAAATCAAATATTTGAGCTGAATGAATAACAATATAACAGATTGGCCCGGGAATTCAGAGATCTGTAATTATTTTTTTTTCACATACCCCCCCAAAAAAAAAAAAAAAAAAATATATATATATATATATATACATATATATATATATACACACACACACACACACCTTATTTTCCGCACTATAAGGCAGCACACCTAAAAGCATTCAATTGTCTCAAAAGACAACAGTGCGCCTTATAATCCGATTTGCCTTAAATGGATCAAGATTCTAATTTCTTGGACATAGTATTTTAAATGTTCTACAAAGCGCTTTGTTACAGTTGTAGCGGTTGTGAAAGCTCGATGTAAATAAAGCGGAAGTGTATTGTATTTTCTTTAGCGTAGCTTCATCTAGTGGATGCATAATGCAACTGCAGCCTCTATTGTAGCTTCTATTCTATGCGCCTTATAATGAGGTGCGCCCTATATACGAAAACAGTTTTAAAATAGGCCATTCATTGAAGGTGCGCTTTATACTCCGAAACGCTTTATAGTGCGGAAAATACGGTAAATTCTCATCACGCAGCAAAACAGTGGCTGGACAGTCACATTCCCAAAAGCGTCCATTAGGAAGCTGGTATCACACGGGGCTGCGACATGCCAACCCGAGTATTCCGGCAACAGAATGTCATCTGCGGAGATTGTCTCATCTCTGTGTTTTATGAGGTCACGACACTCTGAAGTGGTGTGGAATTTTGTTGCCTGAAAGGGCCAAAAATTAAAAATCGGAATCTGGTGCCGCAAATTGATAATCACGTTATGTTCGGGCACAAGCGAGGAAGACGGGCTGACCAACCGTAACAGAACAGATGCTCGAGTTGTTTCACAAATTTTAGATGCATGCTGCTCCAAACCAAAAGGCTTCTTGTCAACTTTCAAGCATGGGTCTTAGACATTTTTCAGTTAATCTCTTCAAGATACATACAGCCACAAAAATTCATATCAATCATTGAAACTGGTTTTGTGTGTGGACACAAGACAAACCTGGACTTGCAAAAGGACTGACGAGGAATATCGCAGACAGAATGCGATCAGATAGGACGGAGAAGGAACATTTGAGATAGATTAGCTTCTTCCTGGAATGTACTGGGAGCAAATAGGACAGGTTTGGGGTGGCAGGGGGGGATATGAGTTACATTTCGATCAATACCAGCAAGGATAGACAAGGAGCAAATGGGATAAGAGGGACAAGAAACATCTAGAACAGAGTAAAAATAGCCTGAACATTTGGAAATGGGTGGGAACAAATTTATATCAGAATCAATTGGAGCAAATTCGCATTCCTGGAAAGGAGGAACTAGCACCGATTGAGATGAACCAAAACACTGTAAAACTAGCATTCCTTTGAATCTCGTGTTTGCATTGAACAAATAATTTGGAGTTTGGACTGCTCCAATGGTAGTTTCTGGGTTTTCATTGGTTGTTGTTGTTGGGTTGTTTTTTTTTTGTTTTTTTTTGGGTCACATGTCCTTGAATGTCATTTGGATATTTAATAAGGGGTATCACTGTTATTGAAGTTCCTCCAAACAGGACAAAAAAGTGAGCTAATCTCCCCGCCACTGTTCATTCTTGGTTCATAATCCCTCATTATTTACTGCCTGTCAAATTGTGGGCGGAGTTTTTTGCTTGCATGTGACCGTGTGCCTTTCAGATCAGGAAGACCAGATCTTGTTGTTGTCACCTTTGGCATAAATTTCTCTTCGTTCTGAGATTCAAAGTGGACATATGGAAAGTGTACCTTTCAGTGTGTTGAATACAAATAGTTGTAGGACGGGAGTTCTAGTTAACCAAAGCTAAAGAAATAAAACTACATTGGGGGGAAAAAAAACACAAAAACAGTGCGTTCATAAAAAATGAAAAAACTGGAACTAAATTTTATGTCATTTTAATTTTTGTAAATTAATTTCATAGATGAGCTTTCTTGTTTGCCCCCCCTTTTTTATGACTGAAAAGAAAAAAAGAGGACATACATGGGAATGATAGATGAATTACAATTGTGACCCCTCCACCTCCGTCTTGTACTCAACAAATACTGTTAAAAAAAAAACAAAAACTAAAATAAGCCTCTTCAAAAACTAACAAACCTGGCTTGAAAACTAATTAACAGAATCCAAAGTAAAAAAAACTCTGCTGCCAAACCCCCATGTGTGAAATGAAACAGAGTCCATCTTTCATGTGCCTTCCTCCCCACACTGACGTCACAATTTCTATTTATGTAATCCCGCTCCCACCATGACTTGGCAGTTTGTACTTTGAGACCAAAGTGGTTCAAATGAAAATGGGGGGAACAATTCCTGATAATTCATGTTTTAATTAATGCACGCCAAAAACATGTTAACTAGATACCGGTACTCAGATTGTCTCCTCTTAACTGATTTTTTTTTTTCCCTCCCCTTGATACTTTGCAGTCTACCTATTCGTGGGCCTGATGATGATGTACCTTCTGCTGCGCACCTTCCACAAGATGGCCGACCTACACGGCCTGACAACCTTCCTGCAGCTCCCGCGCTGCGAGGAGTCCAACCAGAACGAGGACCGTGAGCCCATTGTGAAAAATGGGCACACCCCTGCCCAGAAGCAGCCCTCGTACAACTCTATCGGCGACCGGTGATATGCTCTCCTGAGAAACTAAAATACATGACTGAACGGGAAGTTTTGACTTTTCTAGGAAGATTTGCAGTTATTCAATGAACTTTCAAAGGAAGCTTTGCATCCTCGGGACATTCCCCCCATGCCAAAGTATTGTTTTCATGTTTGTTTTTTCTGTCTTACTGCTCCTTCTCCAGCAGTTTGAATTATTGACGGTCATATTTTCATCATGGTGATTTAGGGCCAAATGTTGCGGAGGTTTGAGTTGCACTTTACTGCTCACGTTTTAACTAGTACACTGTACAAAACCTTGTTTAAATAAAGTTGTTGAAATAAGTGTTAATTGTGATTGCGGAGGGGTGGAGGGGGAAAGAAGGCCAAGATGTTTCCATTATCACATTTTAATGAAGTTTTTTTTTTTTTTTTACAAAAAAGTGGACATTTGCGCTTTATTTTAAAACATACATGAAAAATAAGGGGTTGAGTTCTAAAACAGAGACCGGTTTGAGGCTTCTTGGAACACATGGAGGTAAACACTTTGTGTCAAAGGACCAAAAAAAAAAACAGATGAATATACGCCCCTCCTTTAAAAAAAGTGCATTCGGGCTGACAACGGAACAGCGGTCTGAGAGCCTTGACTGGAACTTTTGTGAATATGAAATATAAGAAGATAAGAAATATGGACCAAAAAGTAGAAGACATCTTTATGGTAACTGCTTGATAAATATGAGGCGAAATTTTTCTTCACGGAAGATTCCACACAACATTTTAATTAAGACACTTAATGGCTGCCGGCTCAACTACGTATGGTAACAGATTCATAAAATTGCTTCATTGTCCACAGGTTCATTGCTTTTATGGGAAGCCCTCTGAGCATTTATTCCATATTGACCTTTAACGCACTAGTACGCTCTTTGTCCTTGCAAGACAATTCAGTGCATGAGTCGGATGACTAACTTAGTAGTAAAAACAATTTCTACTACTTTGGGACATTTCAGCAACTGCATTACTAGTAAGACAACTGTGCCGTCGTCGTGCACACTACTAGAGGTTAACAGTTTTATGTCACAAGTTAAACAGGAATCCCATGATTAGTAAAGTAAAAGTATTGCTTTGGTGCCATCTGGTGGCATCTTCACGTTAAGCAACCACATTGAGCTGAGGCAAGGAGTTTCAGTTGGTCTTGTAGTTTTTTTAAAAAAAAAAGTGCTTTGCCGCCCGCCATCTTGTGGTATCAAGAGGCAATTACAAACCTTTTGGGGTGGGTGTCGAGCAAATTTTGGCTGGCTCTACTGTACCATTAACATGCCCTTGTCAAGTTGTGGACATTTGGGGGGGGGCTCAATCGTAACATTTCCCACTGTCATGCTCAAGGAGTAGAGGGGGGTGGGGTGGTGGTTGTTATTCATTACTACTGTAGAAAGCCAGTTATTCCGCCGGAGGCCGAAATGTCTTACGAGTGAGGACAAAGAAGATACATGGATCGTCAAGTGGATATCAAAAATATGGTATAAACGCTCAAATGGCTTTCTATACTGCTTCGCAGCATCGGTTAAAATCCGACACTCTGGTTTCCCACTCAGGACTCCACCAGCATGGTCACCAGATGCTCCAGATCCAGTCCGTCCCTGAATGAAGTCGGTGGCGAACTGAAGGACGAGAAGGACGGCAGGCCCTTGGCGCTGTGATACGGGAGGTCCTCCGCGGGGGGGCACCCGTCGCCCCTCAGGCCCAGAATCCCCATGTCCCTTTCCAGCTGTGACGTGTCTATGTCCTGGAACATATCCTCAGCTGTAATGTCCGTCAAGTAGCTGGAGCGCGCCGCCTCCACGCCGGCCTCCCACTCCATCAGATCCTGGCTGTGAGCCCCTCGGACCTGCTGCCTCAGCCAGAAGCCGCCGGCATCAGGGAAGGTCTGCAGGTTCTCCAGGGACCTGAGGGCTGCCCGCGGGGAGGGCAACTGCGGGAGGGGCGCGCTCGCATCAAGGCTAGAGTCTAGGCCGGTGAGGATGGACGAAACGGCGGGCGAAATGGTGAAATCGGGGTCGGCGGAGAGGGAGCTCCAATCCTCCGCTTCCTCAAACGACGCGCGACTGGACGCCACTCGCTGGCATTTGGCAGGTGACGGCAGGTCCTGCACCCCGGTGGCTCTCAGTTGCTCATGCGGTGCATGCATGAGTGAGGGAGGCGCCCGTTCGTGAGAAGGCACCCGACAAGCTTCTACCTGCCGTAGGGTGTTGCTGATGAGGACAGACCGCCGCAGGCTGGGTTCCGGCAACTCCTGGTCCAGCTGGTATTTGTGCAGGGAGACGCTAAACACAAACTGACGCTGACGCTCCCACGCCAGAGCGCCGCCGCAGCTGCCACCAGGACACTCATCGGAGGACTCCGGCTGGAGCTTGCGCTTGTGCGTCTTCATGATCATCTTCACACTGCAAAACAACACATTCCACGGTAAACTGTTGACCCTATCTTGACTTGCTCACCATTCATACCACCACTTGCACTCTCCGGTCCAGTAGTTTTCGTAACATCTTTGTTTACCCACACTATTTTTGGTCGATTGTCTTTTAAATGTTCTGCTCAAATGGCTGCAACACTCTGTAAAACAATAAAACTAACCTCTTTCACTCCAATATCATTTCAAAAGTATCAATATCGGGGTGTAAATTCCCATAAAGGGAAAACAAACAAAAATCAAGTCTGGTTTGAAACAATGTCGTTCACATTTGCTTTTACTCTAAATGAAGATTTTTAAAGGGGGCGCGATTTTATTTTAAGCCATATCGCCAAGTCAAACCTTTGGATGGTGAGTGATTACATTTAAATAATACTATAAACTAGTCTTTAAAAATTGACTGATTCATCCATTCCGAGTCAGGAGTCGTTCAGAAGCCAACTTTATGGTAAATGGTGGGCTGTCACTTGTGGACCGCTTATCTACCTCGGGTACTCAAAGCGCTGCACACCATCACCTCATTCACCAACTGATGTCGCAGCATAAGGAGCAACTGGAGGTTCAGTATCTTGCTCCAGGACACTTCGACACGGTCGAACCACCGAAGTCCCTGCTAGACTTCCTCGGCTTCGGAAAGCTGAAGAAACCCTGAGTCACTTTCAGGATGGCGGCCCAAAACATCCACAGTTTAAAATAAAGACGAACTCAGTTTTATTAACATAAATTACATTTCACATTTCAATGAAAGCAATCTTGTAGACATCGCTGTGCGACACGTATTTACGTTTCATAAACGCATTGCAAGATCTGGTGCGAATGCTAACGTGGCTAGCTAGCCCCTACCCCGCTAAAAACATCCCTGATTATATTTTGAGCGTCATTGTGGATTAAATCGTGAATTTGAATCGTTTGTAGGTGGCTAGAACATAAAAAAGTGCGTGTGTGGAAAAAATTAATACATTTTTAATTAAAACCGGCGGGGGGACCCGTGTTTTGGTCTAAATGACGTCACAGGAGTGCGAATATTAGGTAAATACAGTAGTACAAAGACAACAAGAGGAATAAAAACACCTGCTTAGGTAGCTCACTCGTCAACGGATAATTTAAAATCGAGACATCTGGAAAAAGAAGAACGCCACAAAAGATCAAAAACCGACCTGTTGCTTCTCTACCGGCGCCGACTTTTGAGTTAACGTAAAAAAAGTGCTCAATGTCCTCTTTTCCTCGCCTCGCCTCGTAAAAAAAATGAACACGCCAGCGTTTAATGTTTAAATGCTGCCAACATTTTCTTGCTTGCTTGTTCTCCCGCCTGCGATTTAAGAAAAAAAGGGCTGGTGGTTGCAAGGTGCATCATGGGTAACGTTGTTTCACTACGACAGGCATTCGGTGGCCGTTTTTAAGGCACAAAAAAGCCTCACTTCGGAGTTCAAAAGGATCGCAAAACAATCAGCGTCAAGAGTGGGAAAATATGGACAGGGTTCGTGGTTTTCTATCTTTGTGTTTGATTAACTGGCGTGTTTTAGTGCACGTTGAGTTGCCATAATTCCAACACGATGACATCACCGATGAGACGAGACTCTTATCGGCTTCGCCGCAACAAAGTATCATTTAAAGCGAAATTAAGGCGTTTAGTTGTGGGTTTCAATTTACCGTAACACATTAATAACTATGAATAACCGGTTACGATTTTTCTTTCCGGATTTCAACACGTTGGCTCGGGGGGGACATAAGTCTTCTTTACAAGATGACAGGAAATTAAGCATTTAATGTTCAATTGTCAACATCGCTTACCTGGAATAAGGTTTGAAGTTAAGACGAAGTCACGCCGTTGCCGTAAAAAAAATAATGCCGTAGAGTTGACTATTGTAAATTTTAAAAATCCACTCGTTCGACCTTTCTGCCACATGAAACTTGGTCAGCCAATCAGTGAGCCAACTCCCTGACGTATGTTAGACATCAATGGGATTTCAAAATAAACTTGGGACCCCTTTAAACGATTTTAAACCACGTTTATCATCAGTTATGCAATATGTAATCACTAATAAAAATTTCTGATCAGTTATAAGATGGATCCTTATTTTTGTAATGGGAACGTAGTAGGTTCGTTGTGAACTCTGACAAACGGTCAGTTTTTATTTTGAAGGTACTGTATACGAGTCCTACAGCGACTTCTGGAAATGCATCGCCTCCATTCTTTCTGAGCGTGATTTTTCACTTGGCGGGAGTTGCGTAACATGTCCCAACAGTTAAATTAAGCTATAACGCACGTCACTCCATGATAAAATATTTATGCCGCGTTTAGCTGTTACAAGGGTGACGTTTATGTCACAGTTTGACGAAATAAAACGTTACAGTGTCCTTTGAGCGACTCGTTCGTGACTAACGGAAATTACGGACGGATTAATGGCCCCTCAAGTGAGTTTTGAAACACTGGGAACTGTTTATATTCTGGATTGCTGGTAGGTCCTCTGAAGAGGACGCATGCAATTTTTTTCCTTCCACATTTTCAGAGCAACTCCCAGATGGCTTCATAACATGGCTCTGACACATTTTAGTTCAAATGCCTCGAATATGTTACTACCATTCTTGAACTTAGCTACCAAGTCAAGGTGAAGAAATTCGGTATGTAGGAGGGGTCATGTAAATCAATGAACTATGATGTCACAGTCGGGCGGAGATCAGAATGGCCCAATCAGACACATTTTCAGAAATAGTCAGGTCACATGGTTGTTTAATTTCATATTTATGGGTGAGGAGGCATTCCAGTCCTATAACTGTATTGAAATATTAAGTCAATTTACCATAATTAAAAATCACTGATTATAATGGTAAAATAAAAGCATATGGACCGTTCCACCAAATTGTGTGTTTGCATAAATCTCCCCATTGTGGGTCAAATGGTTATCTCATGATTTATTGCTTATTGTATATGATAACAGTTGACTTAAGCAATAAAATACTACTTTTTTCAAGTAAATAATGGAATCGTGCTGTCCCCTTTATTTTCCTGCAGTAAAGGAAGGGAACATGACATGTTACTGGACAAAGGACTTAAAAAACAGAAAACAGCTGCAGTACGATTTGAGGAGATGCTCGCAGTGCTGGTTTTTAATAACTTAGACAACATTGAGGTGACATTATTGTGACACTACAGTAACAGAACAACAGAGTCACACATCCATGTCCAGTCCAATCCGTTTCAATCCCGACTAATGTGCACTTGGGAAACACAACCACTTCTTTTGTTTGTCTGATTCAGAGCCAGCAGATTTGTCCACACCTATGTGAGACCAAGTGAATTCCCGAACAAAAACTCAGCTCTGATTGGATAGAAAAACTGTATGAGTTAAACCGGGACCTTGAGTATAAAATCTGAGATATACAGTATATATTTTTGTGTGGCAATTAGATTTCATTCCAGTGGGACACTTTTTCGAAGCCAAAACTATTGCTTGCGCTTGAAAAAATAAAATAAACAAAAACAACCGCCCATAAAAACTATTTTTTGAAAAAAATCATAGCAGTTGGAAAGTATATGGAACCTTGCTTGAGGATATATTCGATATCAACCATAACCAGTTTAAGGTTCTTGGACTTGTGCGTTCTTTCTTCTCATTAGTAAGACAATTCAGCACACCAGTAGAACTGTTTTTTTTTTTTAATTTTTTTAACAACTGTGTGACATTTTTGCACTTAGGACAACTAGTGAGCCACAACTGTGCACTTGTTGACTCCTGTGCGCTATTATTTCTACCAGTGAAGCTCTTTCTCAACTAGTGCAAAGAGTAGTAACGTAGTTGTTCAAATACTTTGCTGAATTGTCTTACCAGTTAGGACAAAGTGCATACGAGTACAGAGGACTTTAAAGTGGAAGTCAAAAAATTTCTTTGCAATAATATGTTACGTTGCCCTTATTAGTATAAAATGGTATTCAGATTAATATTGTTTGTGTAATATGAATTAAGCAGAAAATGCACCTGTTTTGATCTATGGGGTGGCCATTTTGCCCAGCACTGCCAAATGATGTCATTCAAAATTGATGTCACATTGCCCATGGGTTTAGTGATTGTTTTAAAAAAAAAAACACAAAAAAAAAGTGGGAAGAGACACTTGAAAAAAATAATTGCATATTACATTGTAATTATTGGGGGCGGGATGTGGGATTACTTTTTTTTTTTTTTTTTTAAACAGAGATGCAAGGAAATGGTTGTTTGTCTGTTTGTGACGAACAACCATCTGCGCTCACACTCACACCTAGGGACAATTTGGAGTGTTCCATTAACCTGCCATGTATGCTTTTGGAATGTGGGAGGAAACTAGAGTACCCGGAGAAAACCCATGCAGGCATGGGGAGAACATGCAAATTTCACACAGGAAGGCCGGGGCCTGATTCAAACCCACGATCTCTGTACTGTGAGGCAGACGTGCTAACCAGTCTTCCACCGTGCCGCCCGCTTGAATGATACCGTTTAATGAAATTCCCCTCCATTGTCAGTTATTTCCCAAGGGAAAGCTTCTAATTTAGAACGTACTCCAGAGTCCCCATCATAAATTCCCCCTAGAAATTTACCATACATTTTCCAATCCGACTAATGCAAATATAAAATGAGGGATCTCCTTCTACCTGACATCATTATGGCCATCGGGGGCATCTGCCTGGTCTGCTTTTTAACCACATCCAAGGTGTCTCAACGCGTCAAACTTGGCATTTGCTGGCCGCTCACTGCCGCAATGCTGCTCCTCGTCCTTCTTTGAGAAAATAGAACACTATATTTTACAAGAGGACTAAAATGCAACATCTATTATTTTACAAAAGGAACAGAGCGAGAGAGAGAGCGAGAGAGAGAGAGAGCGCACGGCCGGGCCACACGCTATGTACAGCAGTGTCAAAAAGTTACTTCAAGTCTCATGATCCAGAGTGTGGAGGCCGGGGCTACTGAATAAGTGCTGCCAGAAGGACCGCAAGGGTCGAGGGGAGAGTCAGGTCCGTGACAATCATGTGATCTCCAGGCATTCCTTTTATGATCACAACAATGTGCTGAACAGTGGTTCTCAAACTGGGGTTCCCTTAGCTTGGGGGGTCTATGGAAATAACCTGCATTCAATTACGTTGTACCATTTTGAAAAGTGATTACCAATGTGTAGGGACCAGTGAACCAATAAAACTAACACAATAAACGAATTACAATTACTAACAGCTTTGTGATGTATCGTCACATAAATCTGACAGCCCTGCGTAAGTAGTATTATTTATTTATTTTTAAAAATATATCTTTTATTTATTAGAAAAGGGATATTTTCCAAAATTAAGGGTGTATTATGAGAATAAAGTTGTACTTTTTGGAATTCACTCTTGATGACGTTCTCCCCTTGCTCAGATGACATAACATTCGGAATTTATCTGGAAAAATTGTTTTCTTTCAGCCAAAATATATCTTTGTTCCTGTTCAGATAACAATTTATGACTTTATTCTCATACGACTCAAACTTCTCAAAAGAAAAAAAAAAATCTAATAACTGGCTAATTTTGGGCCTATATGGTGACATCTTGGTGCCAAGGAAGTAGACGAAATTGGGGAATTTTAGAGATTTTTTTTTAAGAATCAAAGGCTAATATTACAAGAATAAAGTTGTACTTTTTAAGCTCACTTCTAATGTTCTTCTGTCATTAAAACATTGACTCTATTATAATAAATGTGAAAATAATATGAATGAAATGTTAAGATTAAATCCTCCTTTATAAGACATCATCATAAATTGTATGGTCCTTGTCGTTCTTTTCGTTGCCACTTTCATAAAGCTTGAAATTGGAATGACTATTCTGACTTTATCTTGGCAAAATATGATTTAACTCTTCATATTACAACTTTTTAACAAGTAAGAAAACATCTTTGTTCTTGTTGATGACATTTTTTCCTCCTTGGAAACAAACAAACAACTTTATTCTCATAACATTTCAAATGTTTTTCCCTTCAAAAAACAAAAAAAGAAAAATTGTTATTGTAACTTGGAATTGTTTAAATTCCTCTGCCGTTTCGGGTTGAACATGGAAGTTATGTTTAACTGGTGCTAGGATTATTTCGGGGTGTCGTGGGGGGGTGGGTGTCCTTGCAAACATGTCTTCTCTGGACCTATAAAGTTTGAGAACCCCCGGCCTAGAAAGTAGAACCGACAAAGAACGGATCACGAGCGCGGACTGTTGTGGACAGAGTTTAACGAGTCTGACTTGGCCTCTTCGTCCTCCTCATCGTGCGAGGGGCTGCTGTGTTTGCCCTGCCCACCCGCTGCTGCAGCGTCCCTGGGCACGGTGCCACGTGCGGCCCCTCTTGATTGCCCGAGTCTGCTTAGTCCTCGCACCTTGTCTCCAGCTTCACTGTCGTCTTTCGTCTCCTCCGACTCCTCGTCCTCTTCCTCCTCGTCCGAGTCGATACGGTTGAGTCTTTTGCGAACGGGCCGGTCCTCCTCAGATGAGGACTCAGATTCTTGCGAGTCGTCCTCGTCTGTGGAGGGTCTTCTGTTCTTCAGCATCTGAGCCAGACGCTTGCGCCGCTGCTGGGACAACATCTCCCGCCTCTTCCCTCTGCCCATCTTCTCTGGGTCGTCGTCCTCTTTACCCGTCCTCAAGATGTTCCTCCTTTCCTCCTCATCTTCTTCAGAAGGCTTCCATCGACGCCGTTTCCCTCTCGGCTGGCCATCGTCTTCTTCCTCCTCTGTCTCCTCCTCGTCCTCTTGGTTGCGTCGCCTTCGCTTGGCTTTGGAGTGGCGAGTGGAGACATCCTCCTCTTCTCTTAGTGCTCGCCGCTTCTCTCGCTTCCTCTTCCCCTGACCACCTTTGTCCTCATCCTCCTCTTCAGAGTCACGTGAGAAAGGTGACGCTGGAAGAACAAGTATGATGATTTTAAACGCAATGCACATGAAGCAGAGTAATATTTATTTCAAAATTTAAAGGGGGCATATGATGGAAAATGACATTTTTAATGTCTTGCATACATATAGTTGTCTCTCTCTGGAGGGTCAAGTGTGAAATGAAACAACTAAGGAAACCGGTTGTTATCTGACTATTTCTAAAAATGTGTCAGAGTGAGCCATTCTGGACTTCTCCCCAACGGTGATGTCGCAATGTGGTGGATTTTATCATCCTGCCCCCACAACAGAAACACAAAGAAAAAAAATCTGATATTCGATGTAGAATATCCGATACAAATGCCAAAATAGGAGAAGATTACATAAATATTTGATGAAAGACACAATATTAGAACAAATATACTGTATGTCAAAAACACAATGATAGAAAAAAAATTTTGAAAAAAAAACATCTGGGGGAAAATGGAAATATATTCCCCCCAAAATTGAACAATTATATAATATACTCTATGATTAGGAAAAAAAAAGTTTTAAAAGATATAATAGTGGAAAATAGTGGAAAAATATAAAAGTACTGGATGAAAAGTTACACAAATATTAGAGAAAAATAAAGGGATGAAAAATTGATGAAAAAGAAAACAGACAAAATATGAGGAATGTACAAAATATACATAATTTGGAAAAACAGAACAAAATAAAGGGATGAAAAATACACAAAATGAGCACTGTATTGGAAAAATATCGGAAAAAACATGCTGGATGAAACTGGAAAATAGAAAAATAAGATGAAAAAATTGGGGGGAAAAATGTGAAATTTGTGAAACTGAAATATAGAATATATATTTTAAAATGCTAAAATATTAGAAAAAAATATCTGAAAAGTATACAAAGATGAAGCAAAAGAAATATTAGATGAAACAAAAATAACGTTGGAGGGAAAGAGAAATACTTGCACTAGTACTACTACAAAAAGGAAAGAAAAAAAAGATAGTCGGAAAAAAATACAAAGATATGAGGCAAGGGAAACAATATTAGCTGAAAAATTACAAGCGGTCTTTGGTTCATGAGAGTATCGACACTCAGTGGTGTGCTTATCATTTTTCATTTGATTGTTTTATATTTATGGCCTCGTCGTGTTTTTCATTTCAACATTTGCTGTATTTATGACTTCAGTATGCTTCTAGTATCGGTTACTGACAGACTTCAGCTGGTCCTGACTTGCGTACAAATTCAGCGCCGTAGGAATTAAACTGTCGAAACCGAGCACTCCTTGTACTTATGTGCACTTACCATCGCTGTAGTCGCTAGAGAAACGTTCCTTACGTGGCCGGCCACGTGGTCTCACTTCTTTCTTTTTGGCAGATGTCCGGGAATTATCCGACGATTCCGACGTCTCCCGATAGTTGACCTGCTGCCGCTGGCCGCGCCTCAGCCCGCCACGCTTCTTATCCGACATGTCGCTGTACTGATCGGAGTCTTTCAGAAAAAGAGGCGTGAGCATATTTGAATACGATCGCTTCATGAGATCAATTAGACTCACCTTCGTCGCTGCCCTCCTCCTCGTCCTCGGAGGAACGTCTCCGTCGGCGCCCCGGTGGCCTCCCGACTCTGTGTTTGGTAATGCCCGCTTTGTACTTGGCCCCCGCTCTCGCTGTCCGTTTGGGCCGCGACGCGCTGTCCCAGCTACCCCCGTCCTCGTCTTCCTCATCATCGTCGGCGGCGGCTCCCGAGCCTGCGAATTCTTCGTCTTCAGAGCTGAACAAGGAAAATTCAGGGAGTTACAAATAATCTAAACCAGGGGTGGTGCAACTTTTCCACTCAAGGACCACAGTGGACTTTTTAAATTAAGGGACAGAGGGACCACAGCAATGTGGTTAAAAAAATGAAAAGTGTTCAGTGCAAAATGTGTACATATTTTAAGATAAAACTAATGAGGTTTTAATGTTTCTATTTGTATTTTTATTATTTACAACAAATGGATGCATCAATCATTCAATAAATTAAATTTAATCATGTTAAATGTATAGGTTAAAATTGCTTATTTTACCATTTCTTGACTGTATTATTTGAAATTACTAAATTTGAATTTAAAAGAAATATTTTTTCACATGTTAGACTCTCTCTTTTATTTATATTTATTTACAATAAAAAATTACTACATTAAATTAATACATGTTAAAATAGTTTAACTATTTTACTCTATTTCCAATGAATAAATTAACCAATCACTACTAAACAAAAGGTAAAATGTTAAATATATGAGTAGAAGTGCCTACTTGACCAAACATGAATACATAAACCAATTATTGCTAAATTAAAAATGCTTACTTTGTATGCAAAATTGTCAAGGCGATTACTAACCCAAATAAACAAAACAGCTTTTTTCAAAGCTTTTAACATCTTAATCAGGGGTGCCAATAAATAACACTATATATACACAATACATCGTTATTTATATAGCGCTCTCACAACAGCTGCAGCTGAAACAAAGTTAAACAGTTAACAAAATAAATACGGAAATAACACATAAGACATGGACAGTCACGCAATCATAACCACTATTCCTGCACACGCCTTGTTCTTTTGAGCAATTTAGTTTTTTTCTATTTCCGCTGCAAATGTCCCATATCTCGCAGTGATGATGATGATGATGTCACCTGTTGCTGAGCGTGAAGTCATCCTCACTCTCCACTGCCGTGCTGTCACTCTCCAGGTCGTTGAGACGCCGGCGCTTCCTGTTTCGCGCGGCAAGCGTCATCGGCCGGCGGTGGCTCGCCGTGCCGTGCTCAGACAATGCGGCGCCGGCGCCAATGTCTCTGGCTCCCCCTGACGGGACATGGCATCACTGGGGGTTATTCCGAGGGAAGGTTCTTGCGTGAACCAAACACCCCATTTACTCAAAATAGTGGCCCCTAACTGTAATTTAATTCACCATGCTAAATCGTTTATTGGTGAAAAAATGCAAAACTATCGATAATACATTAAACAAAAATCTGTATTTGAGTGGATGAATCCTCCTGACCACAAGACGAGGAAATATGACAGTGACATAAAAATCAAAAGCAAGTGGCCATTTTTATGTTTTTAATCCTAACGTGGTCCACTCACCGGTGTTAATGTCACCAACGTCTTCCTCGATGGCCTCGTCAATGGCATCGTCAAAGTCGTCAAATCTGAAGCAAAAAAAAAAAAATGTCATGTAGTTTTTAGGCCAGTTAAACACATTGTAAACATATTAAACCAGTGATACCGGTTAACGTGGCTAAGCATAAGCAGTTACACCATAGGTGTCAAACTCAACGCCCGAGGGCCAGATCTGGCTCGCCACATCATTTGATGTGGCCCGCGAAAGCAAATCAAACATGTCAACGTCTACGCTGATTGTTAAAATCTGTACCAAAATTTCAACTTCTCATATGTGATGAATATGCGAGACATTGTAAGCATTTTCTTGTGACCAAAGAAACACTAACATAAACAATCGTTTAATGAACCATTATTCTTGACTTTTTTGGATGTTTTCACAGTCATAACGGCCCTCCAAGGGAAACAGTCACTACAATGTGGCCCATGACAAAAATGAATTTGACACCCCTGAGTTACACACTAACCTGTAGCTGATGTGCTTCCTTGCTCTGGTTGACCTCCTCCCCAAATTTTTGGACTTTTTGGCATCCTTTTTTTTGGCCATCTTTTCATCTTCCTCATTTCCCTGTGAGGACACAATAAAATGTCTTAAGGTTTAAATCTGTGTGTGTGTGTGTGTGTGTGTGTGTGTGTGTGTGTGTGTGTGTGTGTGTGTGTGTGTGTGTGTGTGTGTGAGAGAGAGAGAGAGGTGTCCTCCATTTTGCTCTACACTCACAGGAATGATGTTCTCCACACTGATCCCCACGTACACCAGCCGCTCCCGCCTGGCGCAGACATATGTAATTTAAGCTCATCAACACGTTAGTGGATGTTCCTGGACTAGTTTGTGATCTCATGGAAGTGTGTGTGTGTCATGTGCATGTGCGTTCACCTCCTCTCGGCACGCTCTCGCTTCTTTAGCGCGCTGTCCAGGTTCAGCAGCTGCTCCTCCAGTCTCTCACACAGAAGCTTCTGTACGCATAAAACACAGGCTATTAGCAGCACCAGTAATGAGCTAGCATCGCTAAAAAAATGTGTGACTGGTTCGAGACAATATCCCAGCTACTGTACTTATTTCACTCTTGAGAGTACAGGCGCAAAAGTCAGCAGAAGTCGAATTTAGCTGCGTGCACTAATCGCAATATATTTCCCTTAAGTGGCACAATTCTAAAATGTGTCATGGCAGGATAAATGGGGGGGGGACATGGACTCAGATATTTTCAGGCCTCTTCTAAATCTGATGCCGAATTTTGTACAAACAACGTAAATAAACACCTGCTGTAAATATGAAAGTATAGACGAGTAAGCTACATTAGAGGTGATCAGACACCAAATATTATGTAAATATGCCACATTAGAGGTGTTAATAAATTAAATAAATGATTTAATTCTATGCTCCAAATGCGCCATGATACAGATGTAAAGAGTATTATGTAAATATAGCATATTAGAAGGGAATTGACATTAGCTCTGTGTAAATATGCTACATTAAAGGTGCATATACATTAAATATAATGCAACTATTCTACATTAGACCTATTAAAGATGAAATCTGATGTAAATATTCTCTGATACGCAAACAAAACCAATATGATAAACATGCAATGTTAGGTGTTTAAAAGATGAAATATGATGTACAGGCCAAAATCAAAATTGTAACAATTAATATCTGGATCATATACATCATATTACTGACGTCAATGTCGTCATCATCTGGGATTGACGCCTGTGTACGTTAAGAGACCAATATGGGATTTTTGTCGCTTTATCTGTGATAGTGCTGTCACAAATTAATCTTTCGAATCGATTATCATATCAACTATTTCATCGGTTACTGAGTAATCGCTCAATTTACACCACGGATAAGGTCTGCTCGCTTCTAATATGCCCAATTTCCACACATTTACATGGAAATAAGATGAGGTCAAGGTGTTAAATCTAAAATTGGGCACTTGACCCAGCAGTGTAAATTCAGGCATGACAATTCTCCCGAGGGTGACTTACGTGCTGGCAGGGTGGGCAGAACCACTCGCCATCCGGGATGAGCATGAGTGGCGGTCGTAGACAGGCTGTGTGATATCCACTGTCGCATGAGTCGCACAACAGAATCTAATGATGACAAGCGCAAACCAGATGAAGCCACAGCAAACCCCAGCGATGACATCATTCAGATTTTAAAAAAAAAAAAAACGTTACGTACCAGTTCCGGGTGGTTGGGAAGACCGCAGTGAGTGCAGGCGTCCTCCTTTGGAAGGTCCTCAGACTGGCACGAATCATCCGAGTGGCTTCCTCCTTCATTGGCCTCCTCGCCGCCTTCAGCTTTATTCACCACCACCTCCTCATCTTCTTCATTCTGTTTGTGGCGCTTGATGTTGGACCAACGGGGATGCCCGTGTCTCCGCTTACCCTGAACATATCAAAAAGGGGGCGGTGGCGGGTCACAATCAAAAGCATTGAGTTACATTTACAACTAAAATTCAAATATTTGTTATGTGGAATAATATTAATTTGGTAGCTTTTCTCTTGGCTGCACTGCTAACAGTACATGTACAGAATGGGAAGAACCTTCGATTTTTCTTCATATTCTAGTATCCTTGTATTGCCATGTCAATATAATCTGCCCCGAGAATGAGCAACGATGACAGAGTGTAGAAGAGGCTACGATACCCTGCGCTTCCTCATGTGGATGACAGCCTTTGCTTTTCCATTTTTCTTGGCAGCAACACTTTGCTCTTCATCATCTTCATCTTCCTCCTCCTCCTCTTCTTCGTCGTCATCGTCGTCGTCATCATTATCATCTTCTTCTCTCGTCTGCTTTCCTTGCCCTTTCTTTTTTTTCGGGCTCTCAGCTGCCTTGGAGCTCGGCCTGCATGGTTGACAAAGCACATATTTTGTGGAAGATGATGCAAGTTAATGACAGGGGAAAAACAACGTTTGTTTGGGATTAGAAAAAAAGCTACAGCAATTCGGGCTGAACAATTACGGTAATCAAATTCAAAACTGAGATCGCAATAAAGTAGAATGCTATTTTCAAATCCAAAGGCTGCAATTAAAAAAAAAAATGGGGGGGGGGTATTTCTGTTGGTCAACAGGGTTTATTTTTTTCTAAATACATGCATACATACACATGTAATCTGATTTATGACTTTATGCTTGTTTGGTGGAAGTTCAAGAGGTTGTCAAAGTAAATATTTAAAAGACTGCAAGTCAAAGTGTTTAGTAAATTAACAACTAACGGAAGTAGATAAACTGTCTTTCATATTAATTCCCAAAAACCCACACCTACAAGACCAAAACATGTATGTATATCTGCTATTGTTAATTGTAGTTTCTTTGTGTTTGTTAAACAATATATGGGAAGAGGATATTGAAAAAAAAAATAGACAATCAAATTACAATTGCAATATTGAGGAGAAAACAACAACAAAAAAAAAGAAAATTGCAATTAGATTACCGGTACTTGGCCACATCCTCAAAGCAGGGAGAACAAAAAGGACTAAATCTGTTTTGAATAAGGTCATTGACATGTTTTTTTTTTTCCCATGAGTATTGGGCGAAAACAGACTGCAGGCGTAAATTTGCATTTTTTGAAATAAGTCTGAGATGTGGTCATATGCTACTGGCCTACTGTTAACGTGTTGATGTTTGACGCGGTTGACAAACCTGGAGATCCTGGCAGACCTCCTGAGGGACCTTCCCCCTTGTGACGCCTCCTTCTGCTGCTCTTTGGCCTTCAACTTGTTCCTGCGATGAGGCGGAATCTTGATCTTCAAGCGGATTCCTTCCTTCTGGAGCTCTGAGGAGGCCTCCTCTCTTGGCCACGGCTTCCCGTCGGCATCCTTCTTGCTTGACTGATCCGCTAGAGCACCATTGATGCCTTCCTCGTCCCTCAACTCTGCTTCCACTTTTTCTAAAGGACTCACGTCCTTCTGGTGGTCATCTTTGTTTCCTTCTGTTTCCATGTGAAGGTCTCGTGTTCCCAAGTCAGGATCCCCTCCCTGAGGGACATTTTCCTCTGTTTCGTTGTCAGCGCTTGTTTTCACACCCTGGTCGACGCGTGCCGTCTCCACGACGACGGGGTCGTTCCTCACCAGCACCGACATGCGCCCCATCTCCAGGGTTCCTACACATTTCAAATGTTAAAATTCCAACCCTTTTCCAGATCAAAATGACCAGACTTATTGTTTTTTTTTTAAATCAGCTAAACCTTGGTTGTCAAAACATTTGACGAATTCATATTTTGAAAATACTCCACTGTTTACATTTGTAAATTTATTTCCATTTTTGTCTATGGAACCTATCCTCAGCTATTCATTAAACTACAACTAAACGTCAACAAAATCGAAGTCTAGACTCATAGTAGTAAACGGTGTCAAGGAAGCACAAACCTCCACTGATTAAGTTCTTTGTATGCCTGGGAGAAACAAAGTTTAGCAAAACGTTCGGGAAACTTTTCGCTGCATGTTTCTTCTGGAGCATTTTTTTTGCAATCATCTGTAAGCCATTTATTTTTAGGGTTAATGTTGTAAAATGATTTTGATGGATTACATCTCTTCGGATCATCATCTGCAACATCTGCTATTTCTGTGAGCCCATCTATGCCGTTGTTCATTAGAAGTTAGCGTTTGGCTAGTGGACTTCTGTTGGCTGAAATGATCTGACTTGGATGAAAAATGTGGTGTTTAAATATGCAGTACAATGTTTAATTCTTTAGGCGTTACTTTTAAACCTCTCTTGGGAGTGACAGGTTGAAGTATGCATGCTTTGTTTGGACAACTGTAGCAGCACGAGTCTCTTTTCATTTCCTCACAGTGATGTTATCTGATAAACTCCCATTTATTGACTGTGAGCGAATGGAAACGTGTCCTAAGAAATACTTTATAAAGTATGTTTTAATCATTTTCTCTGTATTTAAAGAGTGTGGAAGGGATAAAACTGCACAATTTCTTCTCTCGATACAGTATCACTGATTTTCATTAAGGGAGGATTCACTGTAGTTTCCACTTTTCATACTTTTGCAGGGCAGGAAATGAATCAAATTCCATATTTTCCATACTTGCGTTGTATCCCTGTACATTCTTCTCTTCCTCCGCCGGTTTGCAGCCGTTCTCTTCATTGGATGTCGGTCCGCGGATGACCCCCACGTGACGCGACACGATTGATGACCTCCCGTTAGGCAGCTCAGGGTGCTGTTGTGGTGCCTGGCCACCAGTTGGTGCTAATGAGACATCCTTACTCTGTATGACTGAGGGGTTGCACACGATGATGCTGCTGCTGTTGTTGTTGTTGTTGAGGTGGTTGCCATGGTAGCTTTCAGCGAGCTTCAGCTCTCTCTTCTTCAGTGGTATCTTAGCCTGTTGACTGCTCCTGACCACGGCCCGCTCGGTCTCCTCTTCCTTGTTTGCGTCCTGCTTGGGCACTGTCGTCATGACGACAGACAAATCCCGGCTCTCTGATTTGATGACAGAGGTGATGGTGCTCACGTGGTTATCGATGGGAGGCGCTTGATCACTGGTCTTTTCCTCCTTCGCCTCCTGCTTGATGCTCACTGTCTGCTCCTTGTTGCCCACTAGCAGCAGAAAATAACAAGACATTTTTTTTTTCACCAAAATAATTTTTTCAGATTTTAATGATATTTTTTTCCTCTCCCTTTGCTTAGGGGAAAAATAAACACTGTGATAACATTGTTAGACAAGTGTGCGGGCCCTCTGGGACTTCAGATTCAGCCAGTCACATTCACCCTAATGTTAAATGGAAGTCAGCACACACATCCCACCATCTTAAGTGCCAAATAAAGTTCAGTTGCTCGGGTGAGCTTTTCTTGATATCACCACCCTCTGGTGGTCACGCTGTTATCCACCTCTGCTATAATTGGCTACATCCTTCGTGAAAACCGATTATTCAATTCTAAGCCTTAAATGAAATTATTAATACACAGAATACCAGATACTCATCATTAAATGAAAAAAATACATGGCTCAGCAGCAACAATGCCAAGGATTGGACACTCTCTACGCTAAAAAATTGCTGAAAATGCGGTACGAAAACTGGTCAAGGATGCTACCAAGAGGCCGACAGCAACTGTGAAGGACCCGCATGAATTTCTGGCAAGTGCTGACAACAATCTCCCATCTTCTTTATATGTCTGGGCAAAAATGACACGTGAAATTAATTTGTAGACTAAACATAAACCCCCAATAAATGACATCTTAAATGTTCAACAATTTATCATCTAAAAAAATCTGACAACAAGCTGCTGGTCAGCTTGTCCATGTCTTTGTTGTACATCCTCTCGCTCTCTTATGCTTTTTTTCTCATGTACAGTTATACAGGTGAGGCAGGGCGACCTTAGCAAAATATTTTCAGCTTGGATTTCAACATGTGGGGGGAAAAAACTAATTTCGCAACATACAAACTACACTATAGAAGCCACTTCCCCCCCACAAAAAAAACTTTAAAATAAATAAATAAAACCAACACAACTAAAATAAAAATTGTCCCGAGAAACTAAAACAATTGATGAGTGTCACAGCCCTAGTTTAAAGTCACTTATGTAATGTTAATCTTACCTTGTGTGAGGGGTTTCTCATCTTTTTCAACTTCCATATTGTCAGCGACATCCTCAGAGTTCTTGAGGTGTTTTCCATCTTCGTACACTTTGATGCCACACAAGAAAGAATGTCAGGTGACTGTACAGTAGATTTCTCTCACAATAACTCCATCCATCCATCCATACATCCATTTTCTGAACCGCTTTATCCTCACAAGGGTCGCGGGGGGTGCCGGAGCCTATCACACACATGAACAACCACACAGAGACGAACAAGCATCCACGCTCACACTCACACCTAGGGACAATTTAGAGTGTTCAATCAGCCTGCCATGCATGTTTTTGGAATGTGGGAGGAAACCGAATTTTACTCATTAAGGACATGGGTGAGCTGGAATCTATCACAGTTGACTTTGGGTGAACAACGGTAAACCCTTGACTGGTCGGCAGCCGATCGCATGTATAGGATATTGCAAATTAATGCGTTCATACAAATAGGAGAGTCTCTGCATTTGAGTAAATTAATGCTGTCAGATACTATTTGAGGAAATGTGGGCCATGTTTTAGTTCACATACTGTAGACGTTTCCAACATGAACAGGACATATTCTCACTGATACTTTCAACAAATCATATTTAGGCTGTAAGTTTCTCGATTTTAAATTATTATTTATTAATACCAAATTATTACCAATTGCAAGTGTTGAAAACAGCCTGGGAACAAATTACTTAATTCTTTTGGACACTTCAACTGTCTGAGAAGTCTTGTAACAGTGCCTCTTTATTCCACGGTAGCCTTGCGACATGATGTCTTTTTCTATTGGCTGAAATATAGTGCTTGCCAGGCAGTGATGATATCCTCTAACCGTGGATCACTTTTATGTTTGCTTTCAAAGCATTTTTGATGACAACTTGAAAATATGAAATATTGTTTATTCATTCACCGGTTTCTCTGTGAGCAGGACTGCAGCTCCCAGATTCAGACAGTTTCTGCTCTTGGTCCTGATTCAGGTTCGGGAAGACTTGGGCCTTCAGGATTTCCAGAGCATCAGCCAGGTCATTACGGCTCCTAAGGGGACCGTTGGCAAGGACACTCGAGTTGAGAGAAACGCAATCCGGATGGCAAAGTAGACCTTCCGTTTGGTTCCGGTACCTGACTATGCATCTCCAAGTGGAGCCGTCCAGGTCGTCCTGCTCTTCCGTGTACAGCCGGATGTTTTGCTCCTGGTCCAGCTGTAGCCAATACATCAGGCCCTGTTTGTCCCGCCCGATGGGCTGCAGGCGCATCTTGTCCGGCTCCTCCTCGTTGATCACCGCTTTGAACTTGAAGTTGTCGTCAAATTGGCACTCGCACAGATACTGAGAAAACGCATGAAGTCACATAAAGTGATTGCCAACCACTGTGCTACGACACATTTTCCAATTTTGTTCTTTTTCCTCATTTTATTTTCTTTGTCAATCTTGTCTGCTGTGTACCTGCAATATATAATGACAAAACTGAAATACTCCACCACGAGATGGCAGAAAATACAATTGGCCTGTCGGTCCACATGCTGCCACTCATATAACAGAATTATTTCAACAGGTCCAGATTTCAAATGAGAAAGTAAATTTGTGAGTTAATTAATGAGCCCATCATTATTTTAGTAGATATTCTGTTTGTGTTATTTTTGTTTAGTAGAGTGCTGTTAGATTTCTTCAAATAAAAGTCAAATGAATGCTTGAACTCGGGAAGGGTTGTGTTACTGATTTTGAGGTTGTACAAATCCAAATTTAAAATGATTTCTCGGTCAAGTTGATCAAACTTAAAACTGCTCATTCATTAAAAGTCAGCACTGGGTGGACAAAATAGGCTTTACATTAAAGCGTACTCGGAAAAGTTGTGAAAACATTTCAGCTATAATATGTAATGATTTTGGTTCACTTATCAATACAGATTACATACAGCTACCTAATCGACGTGCAACAAAATTAAATACTGACTTTTTTGGACACAATTGGACTACAGTGAGGATTTTTTTGAAGACCTGTGACCAGCAAATTCCAGTATTAAGTGTCATTTTTAAGGAACTTAATAGTTTTAAAAGGTAGGCAGACACCAAGAAATTATCAATCTGTGTGGGATTGTGACACAGGGACATAATAACATATGATTGGAACAATTTTGTTCTGTGGACTATTTGAAGATGTTAGAATGTCATACTTTGAGAATGCTGGACTTGCATTCCATGGACATGTCCTGATAGCCGTTCTGTTCCAGCTCCCAGGCCCAGGCGCTGTTCAGCTCCTGGCAACTCTACAAGAAAATTAACAGCAGATTTCGCTCTTTGAAACCTCATTCTCACACAGATCTCAAGTCAACTTTGGACCAACTGAGTGCTTCACTTGCTTTGGCCAAGTATTTTTCCCAGCGCTCCGTCGTCACGCTCTTGCCAAGCTTTCGAAGCAGCTTCACGTGAAGTTCTATGAGAGGTTTTGGAACTGAAAAAGAAAGTGAAAATGACTGAAAATGTAAAGCTTTAAATGTATGCCGACATTGTCCACTTTCTTTGAACTACCTTCAACTAAATAAAAGATGTAAGAGAACTCGACCAGATGGATGCATGCGTTTAACAACAAATAATGATTTTAGACTTTCACTGAATGCAACAAATGTATTTCAATAAAAATTATTAAAACATGATACTAACATTAAATTTAAGTGCAACCACTCAGATAGATATTTTATTCCATCAATAAAACATCGGAAGTACTGTCGTAAATCACGGTTACGACGTCACACGACACGACATTTAAAACTGAAAGCAGACTCAGGTGGTGTACAGTAACATTTTGAGTGGAACTCGTTGCGATTTATTCAGCCACAAATATGACAATAAACAAGTATGGCGCGTGTTTGAACTCTCAGCATCAATGCTAATTTCTCGAGTTAGCTCGCTGTGTAGGCCCCTACTACGCATGCGCAAATTTGACAGCAACCAATTCTCATCCACTGTTATTAGCGACCCTCCCTCCCGTTTTCTTTAACAGTGACGATTACATTACTGTAAAAAACAAACAAACAAACAAACGTGAAGTTGAATGTCAGTTCGAAATTCGATTCCTGTTGCCAGTGAATGAAAGCAAATAATAAAGTACACCTGACAAGACTCAAGGCGGTAGAGCTAACCAGGCTGCATCATGGCTACCTTCTCTTCATTACATTCACTCATTTTAAGTTTTGTTGTTGCTCTTCTTCTCTTTCACACAACATCCACCACGTCTCGTCACTTCTAAATGACCCTGGGCACAATTCAGCCACTTAAAATCATTGTTTGGTTTTTTTTCCACAGAAAATGAGAGTGAAGGCTTTTTTGGGGGGCGCGGGGGTGGCGGGGCGCTAGCTTGGTGTTAGCTTCGATGGTTTCTCCGGGTTCAAACTTCGGGACTTGTTCTCATTTCTGGCTGCTTGTTTTATCAAATGGCGGAAGACTGAAAAGCGAGACCATAATGTCGCTATGTGGTGTAACGTCGTACGAAGGCTGGTGATGTTAACCAAAGCGAACAGACATCTTCATCACCCTCACCATCATCGCGATGAGAGTAGCGATGGTGCCCGGGTGCCCCCCTTCTTCCCCTTCTCCTCCTTCTCCTCCTCCGAGTGTCGCAGCTATTCCACCACTTCTTCCTTTCGCCACAATATTGACAAAATGAGCCTCTCACCTGACGTCTTGTCGCGCAGGTAGCCCTCCATTTGCGGGAACGTCATCTCAGGCAGGTCGAGGGCGGCCCCGTAGCGCTCCAGGAACGAGCAGACCTCCGCGAAGCTCGGGCACAGCGCCGGCTCGGAGCTCCTGAGCAACGCCGGAGCAGCCATGTTTCAAGGCGAACTGAAGCGGGAGGGGAGGGCCGGCCACCGCTGGGAGGATGCGAGTCAAAGGGAATGAATGGGGGACACGGGCTGGCAAGGTGGTGGTTGGAGAAAGACTACAATTTCCGGGTAAGCTTTTTCAGCATAAAACCACTAAGCCCCATAAAAACGTTTTCGCTGGTATAATTTTTTTTTACATTGACAGCAAATCTTTACTGGTATTTCTGGTGTGTGATTACACTTGACTCCAAAGTGAGAAGTTATAAGAATATATCGCGATAGAAAGACAACAGCAGCAACCCAGCGTGGTTTTGTTTTTTGACCTCATTAACCAAACGTGCACGATAAAGCAACACGAAACGGCTCATGCAAATTTGTTTACGTTCCCGAAGCACAACGATGTTTACAACATTAAAAGTGAGTGTTAAGTTGCGTTGGTATGACAGATAGATAGATAGATAGATAGATAGATAGATAGATAGATAGATAGATAGATAGATAGATAGATAGATAGATAGATTTAACTGGATGGTGTTACATTCCCAGACTCCTGAAAAATAATTTTAAACAACATTGACATTATTCTTTACGATAGCAAATAACCCCATTTATTAATCTTAACAACGAAACCAAAATTAAATCGCTCGTGCAGAACATCTCCGATGAAATGCAGACAACATATTGGAAGTCCGAGGCAGTGTCTGGTCCATGAAGGCATCGCAGTAAAGAATACCGGAAGTAGTTTCGTAGTGAAAGTTATCTTTGTTTCAACTGTTGAAGGAGTTAGAATCTCACTTCTTCCACTGCAGCCATTATTTTAGTCCCTCTCGTTATTTCCAAACTTATTGTAAATGCAGTCATGTTAGAGTCGTAAACGACTTGCAAAGAACGGAAAGGTGAGATCTCTCCTCATTAATTTCGTCGCTTTTATTGCAATTTAAACTAGCCGGTCGCTTTTGCTAATCAGTTTCCAGTACATTTTGAGTGATGCATTCATGTACTTTAAGTGCAATTAATATTGAAAGCTTACCTTGTTATGATTGCCAGTGAATTAAGTGTTAAATAAATAATATCCCATTCACTGCACATATTGGTAAAATCAAATGGATAGCAAACGTAGAGCACTCGGTAAACGTCTTTTATGTTACAAAAAAAGTTATTTTGTTCGTGGAGAAATTGTGTTGTATTTGTTGTCGTTGCTTGTTTTGTGTATGCTTTTATTTTTAACCTCAAGCAGACAGCTGCACGTGTCGTGCAATGGAGCGATGGCGATGGATGCCTCAGACAAGCTCATTCATGCCTAGTGTATTTTTGTAACATTTTTTGAGCGCGTTTGTGTGGTGCAGAATTATATTTTTGTGACACAGGCAGCATGTTGACTGTTAAAATTAATGCATGATAAATGGGGCGTGTTACCCCTGCAGGGCCTTTTTTCAAGTTTCACTAATTTATTATTGAATACACAATGATTACAAACACTGTATGTATCCCAACATGATATGTCTATACTCTATATACTGTCATTAGATTGAATGGATCATTGTAACACATTGTAAACAGTTGCCTGTATGTACTTGACTGACCACACCAGAATTTAAGGAAGTTTCCTTGGGATCATGTATAGAAACACATGCAATGCTTCATGTGATGACTGTTGTGTGTCATTCAAATCTCAAGTCATGAGTCACATTGGGCGTTAAGTCTGTGTGCTTTGCAACTTTAACAACACGTCTGCAGTCTGCATACCAGTGTCAATGATGCTCTCATGACTACAGGCTTCCATGTTTACAAAATAAAAAGCCGCAACAGGCACTTGCAGTTTTGCACGGAAAACCTCATCAAGATTGATGCCGTGTTCCATCCACATTAGATGGGGTACATACAAATTCGTTACAGTGTCATCCATCCAGGACACGCAATTCTATTTGGAGCTCATTTGCGCAAATTCCTTAGTCTTTTTTCCGTCAATATAAGAGCCCGGGTATTCTCCCAAAATGGCAGATTTCCTGTTTAATTTGGGACATGGGTCTAAGAGGCTGGTAATAGACGCTTGGTGCGTCTGTTTCATGTCTGCTCAATTTTGTGTCCATCTGTAAAAGTGATGTTGAGGGCTTTTGGAATTTGTCCAATTACCATCCTGGGAATTTGGTCAAAATGGTTGACTTCCTGTCCAATTTTTTTGTGTGGGGCTTGTTTTTCAAATTCGTATGAATGGCCAAATTCATTCAAACTGGCTGCTTCAAACTAAAATGGACAGATACTTGTCGACTGTTACTGTTACTCTGATGCTTTTTCATGTCTCCTACGATGATAGACATGTCCACCCAATTGAGTGTCAGTTGGTCAAACTGGTGTCAAAGGTCTTTCAGTATCTGTCAAAATACAAGCGCTTCAATTTGGCCAAAATGGAGTTCACGGAATGAGAATATTTAGGTATGTCTGTAATATACTGGGGCGGCCCGGTAGTCGAGTGGTTAGCACGTTGACTTCACAGTGCAGAGGTACCGGGTTCAAGTCCAGCCCCGGCCTCCCTGTGTGGAGTTTGCATGTTCTCCCTGTGCTTGCGTGGGTTTTCTCCGGGTCCTCCGGTTTCCTCCCACATTCCAAAAACATGCCTGGCAGGCTGATTGAACACTCAAAATTGTCCGTAGGTGTGCGTGTGGGCGCGAATGGTTGTTCGTTTCTGTGTGCCCTGCGATTGGCTGGCAACCGGTTCAGGGTGTCCCCGCCTACTGCCCGAAGACAGCTGGGATAGGCTCCAGCACCCCCCCTGACCCTAGTGAGGATCAAGCGGTTCGGAAAATGAATGAATGAATGTAATATGCTGCCCCTATTGGCCACGCGCACACTAGAACGAGCAACACAATGTCCACTGAGCATGAAACCATGACGCTTAAAATATTAAAGTCTACATCAGCGGTGTCAAACATACGGCCCGCGGGCCGTAACCGGCCCGCAAGTAGGTTCAATCAGGCCCGCAGGATAATGTAAAAGTGAAAAAAATGCATTAAAGACACAGAATTAATATTTTTAATCAGGTGCAATTCATTGAGTATCCGCAAGGGGACACTGTTTTGATCAGAGAAGAAGACAACAGCAGCCTCAGTCTGTCACTGAGACAGACCCATGACAGCAGACGCTATCAATAGCACTCTCACATTTACACATTTAATAGCACTCTCCTTAGTTTGTAAGGTGTAGGCAGGGATTACATTTAGATTTTATATGCACGTGTAAATGCTTTAAAACTTGCTTTCTTTATGAATCTTGTTTAATCTTAAAGTGCATTACTATATTTTTCAATACCAATTACTTGTTAAAGTTTGTACAATCAGTGGGATCAGTTGCAATGCATATATGTGAATGATAAAAGTAAATTGCACATTTGTCGAAGGAAATGTAAGGTGCTTCATGAAATGTTTTGTAAAAGATATGTTCATTAAATTTCAACATTTTCCTAATGTTCTTGTGCTTCTTTATACCAAAACAAAGGAAAGACATATTGTTTTGGTTATTTATAGCAAAGTATTGTATCATTTTAATGGTCCGGCCCACTTGACATCTACCGAGGCCGTATGTGGCCCACCATGTGAAATGAGTTTGACACCCCTGGTCTACATTCTGTTGAATTGTGTTATTCATGTATTTTTTAAAATAAAGTACAATTTTGTGGACTGCTAATTTCCCGTTCATAATCTTTTGTCCCAGAACGTGATCATGGCCATCGCCCACGTGGCCACTGAGTACGTGTTTAGCGACTTCCTCTTGAAGGATCCTAATCAAGCTCGATACCGCAGTGTGCGCACCGAACTGGCGGTGGACAAGATGGTGACCTGCGTAGCTGTGGGCCTTCCTCTCCTACTCATCTCATTGGCCTTCGCGCAGGAAGTATCCGTCGGTCAGCACCGTTTCATTACTTCCGACAAACACAAAAAAAAAACGGATGAGGTTGTTGGTTTGTTGCTTATACGGAAGAAAATGCCATTAAACAGTTATTTTCTCTTTTTGATATATTACTCACAACGAAAAACATGATCCCCCTCCGCCCCAGAAAGCAAATGGTCGAGTCCATGAACCAGGAAGTAATATGCTAACTAGCAAACAAACACAAAATTGGCACTCCCATCATTATTTTTTTATTTTAAAAGAGGAAATTATTCTTTTTTTATGGCACGTTACCTGATTAAACCATTCCCCCGTGGCAGGATCAAAACTAATGCAGTCCCATCGTCATACATCACCTATGAGCTAAGAATAAGCTAAATTGTGAACAAGCATCCAAATAAAAAATAATTAAATAGGACTTATTTTTTTAAACATCTGTCATGATTAAACCCGTGCCCAAACTGAATTGGTGCAGTTCATAGCCTTACATCATTCTCCGTGAACCAGGAAGTAGTATGCTAGCTAACAAATGAAAATTACGTCAGAATACATACAGTATTTGAACCTTTTTGTCAAGGAATAATTCATTTTCTCTATTTCCATTTGTTTCATGATTAAATGGTTTATCCCCTGCCCGAGAAACAAAATTGGTCCTCATGTTCCATGTCATCTTCCGTTCACCCAGAAGTAGCCTCCTACCTACAGTAGCTAACAAACACATTCAAGTCACAGTATGGAATGTAAATTTCTCTTTTTGCCGTTTGTGTCATTATGAAGCCACGGTACTCTCCTACAGTCTCATATCACATTTCGTGTATTCTTTACAAACCAGGAAGCTCGCAAACTAGATTAGAGAAAAGTTCCGCATGGTGGTGTTTATGTGAGGTGTGTTGACATTTGTTTGTTGACTTCAGGGACCCAAATTAGCTGCTTCGCTCCCAGCAACTTCTCATTGAGACAGGCAGCATACGTAGACTCGTTCTGCTGGGCGTCCGTGCACACGCACACGCTGCCTCTCTGGTTGCACAAGGTACACACTCACTCACTCACACACACTCACATTATACCGTTCATAGGGCACTCTTTCTCATTCAGACAGACGTGAACTCGTTCTCACTCACCCACACACTTACACTCTCACACATACTCTCACTCTCATTCCAATGCTCAGACATAGTCACACCACAAACTCTCTCACATACACTCTTACACACTCTAATATTTGTGTGTTTCGGCCACAGTTTTTCCCGTACATTCTGCTGCTGGTGGCCATGCTGACGTACAGTCCGGCTCTGTTCTGGAGGTTCTGGTCAGCGCCGTTACTGCAGTCGGACCTCGGCTTTATAATGGAGGAGCTGGACCGATGCTACAACCGAGCTGTCACGCTCGCCAAGCGCATGACCACCGATGCTTTGCATGGATCCGACAGGTATACGGTTTTTATTTCACTTTTTTCTATTTTTATCAGTATTTTAATACATTTTTTAAACTTTACATTCCAGCAGTTTACCTTACTTGACTCTTTTGTTTACATACAAATTCAGTTTGCAGCCATCACGACTGATGTCATGCTGAATTATTTACTTTACAATACTTATATATTACAGTACATACTGGTTCTCAACTTTAGTCATTAATTTTAATGTAGCTGTTGTTTATTAACTTTTTTTTTACATTTTTTATTTTAATGTGTTTACAATTTTTATTTATGAATTGTATTTTTAGTTTACTTCTTTGTTTAAAACATTTTATACCTTTTTGTTGTATTTTATCTTATTGTACTTTATGACATTGTACTTTCCTGAAATTTTGCTGTACTTTAAAAATTTTTAATTTCCGTTTCTATTTAAATGCCTTTCATTTTCCTCCATTTTTTCTGCTTCATACTTTATTTTTGCTTTACTATATTTTATTTGCTTCACTTCATTTTTACTTATAATTTATCTTATATTTGAGTTTCTTGTATTTTATTTTATTGTTATTTGACTTTTTTTTTTTTTTTAGTTTTCACTGCGGCATCTGGTCCCATCCTCAAAATGTTCCTCCCAATTAACATCCTTCTGAAAAGTTTGACCAATTAAAAACATTCCGTCTATGAACTTACATCACATAGTTTCCTTATTGTTACATTTACCCTTTCGAAATAAATCTTTCTCCTTTACTCCGTTTCACTCAGTTAGTACTATTTGTTGTTGTCGTCATAAAGTTGCAGCGACCCAACGGAGGGCTGTTTCAACTACCCGCTGGTGGAGAAGTTCCTGATGACCAAGCGTTGCTCCCGCGTCCTGTTGGCTCGGTACCTGCTGTGCCGAGGTCTGACGTTGGCCACGTTGCTGTGCGCCTGCCTCTACCTGGGCTACTACCTGCACTTAGCCCCGCTCACCGATGACTTTGGCTGTACGCTGAGAGTGGGCCTGCTTGCCAATGACTCGACCGTGCCGAAAAGGGTGCAGTGTAAGCTCATCGCTGTGGGAGTCTTCACATTGCTCAGGTACGTGGTATGTGAAGTCTTTTATTTTGAAATGGCAAACGTTCCAATAGGTTTCGAACTGTGGAAAAGGTCAGACAAATAGAAACTGAGAAAACCATTGTACTGGTCAGAGTGTGACAGAAAGATGGGAACTGAGATGAAAGTTGAAATTCTTCACAGGAAATTATATTTTGAAAAATCAAACACTGTAGAAGGACAGAGACTGTGATAAAAAGTAAGATATTGGACAGGAAGCTAACCATTTCAAAAGGATGCAACCTGAGAAGCTGCACAGAAAAAGTACTGCTTTTCAAAACTCAAAAGGATGTAAACTGAGAAGAAAGTTGAAATGCTGAGCCAGATGTTTTATTTTGGAAGTCAAAACTTAGAGAAGATTGGAAACTAAAACAATAGGTGAGATACTGGGCAGGAAGACTGAATCTGAAAAGTCAAGAATAACAAAAGGATTAAAACTGAAATAAATGAGGCGATGTTGGGCAATAAGTTGTATTTGTAAAGTCAGAGATGGGAACTGACGAGAAAGATGAGATACTGTCTGAGCGGGAAGTTTTATTTTAGAAAGTCAAATGTTGCACGTTCATATATAAAGGGATGGAAACGTGATACACTGCAGCTATTTTATTTTGAAAAGACCTTATGGATCTTGGGATGTTGTGCAGGAATTTTTACTTTGAAAAGTCAGAAGGATGAAAACCGAAATGAAAGGCAGGATGCAGGGACGTATGTTTTAATTTGAAAGCCAACAGGAAGCATTCTCCTCCTAGCCTGGTCAACTTAATCGTCTTCTCTACGCTGATCCCTGTGGTGATCTATGCCAGTCTCCGCCCCCTCCTCTGTCACCGCTACGCCCACTTCCTGGAAACTTACCAATTGCTGCCCACGGTGAGTGTCCTGCCCACGCCCAGCGGCCAATGGGACGACCTCTCTCTCTATCTGCTCTTCTTGGAGGAGAACATCAGCGAGCTCAAATCCTACAAGTACATCAAGGTCTGGATGTACGCGATACATAATCCAAAGTATGACTGTATTATACAACATCACCATTTTGTTTCCACAGTGTCCAATAATGTGGCCTATTGTGTCCCACAATTTCTGCCATTTTGCGCAATAAGGTCCCCTTCTTATGTCCCATTCTGTGTCATTCTGTCTTGTTTGTTCTTGTTGTTGTTCCATAGTGACCACTATGACAGTATTTAATGATAATTGTGTTTAGGTGCTGGAGTTGCTGAGGAAAAGAGGAGAATGCTCGGGTGAGGACTTTGACGCCATGGGTCTACTGCAGACACTGTATCTTGTCAAGATGGACACTGTGGATGCTAAGAAAGCCGCCGAAGCGGCGGCAAAACCAGACCAGGTTGTCATCCATGAGGAAAAGTCGGACAAAAACAACATCCAAAGCCACAACAGACAGGAGGATGAAGACACGATGGGAACTGAGATGAAAGGTGAGATTCTCGACAGGAAAAGTTGACGTTTACGGAAGAATGAGAAGAGAGGAAAATTGAGTCACCGGACAGGTTTTGATTTGAAAAACAAAGAGTTACAGCAAGGCTGGAAACTGAGATGAAAGGTTAGATGCTGGTCAGGAAGTTTTTTTAAATTTGAAATGTAAATGCCAAAGAGAATGATTGAAACTGGGTTGAAGAGCTAGACAGGAAGTTTTACTTTGAAAAGTAAGATGATACAGAGTGATGGACAACCTGAGATGAAAGGTGAGAGGCTCAATGAGAATTTTATTTTGAAATCTCAAATGTTAGAGAAAAAGCAAAGTTGAGATTCTGAACCGCAAATTTTATGTTGGAAAATCACACTGAGTGAACTGATGAGATGCTCTGATGGAAGTTTTATTTTGAAAGGTCCAACATCCCATCATTTCTTTTCAGAGCTGACTCGGTTGTTGCCGGGCAACGGTGATGTGACAGAGGGCAGAGCAAACAGCGAGGGCGGGGCTCTGCGGCAGCGAGCAATGTGATTGGCTGCTGACTCTCCCGCCACAACCACTTGACGCATGACATTTGCATATCCATCCAGCTCATTAGCATGTTGTTTCTGTACCTGTGCGTGCCCCTTTATGGGATGGACCACGACCCCTCGGATGATGTGACCATTTCAACCATCCTTAAACTACAATGACATCATCAGAATGAGATGCGATGTCTTTATTTGCACTGTTTTTGTTGTGTTTTATGATTGTTTTGAACCAAATATTCTTATGTATGGATTGTAATGCTATTGTGATTCTGTATACACTGGTATAATGTAAAAAAAAAAATGACAATGACGGTACAAAGCGTTAACACCAGAACGGATCATGTTTGCTTCATATTACTCTGTTGTTTTGTTTTTGTTGTTTTATACTGGCATCATGAATGTAAACATGTATTTAATACCGTCATATAGCGACTGGAAACGTATTTTTTGAAGTGGTACACTTTGCGGTTTGTGTTAACTGAATATGTATTTTTATCATGTTGTCGTTTGGAAAATAAAGCAGCTGTTGAAAGTGCTTTGCATCTTACTTTTGGTGCTTATTTAAGCCAAATATATGACATGAAACCTTGCATTAAAAATGCTATTTATTAATGCATGTAAAATGTCATGCAATTTTTTTGTCTAAGCAGCAGGCACAAAAAGTAAGGACATTCGGTGGATTAATTGTTGTAGCAATGTTTCTTTGTAATAAATCTTAATGTGATGCAATCACTCAAAATAAGTCGAGGGCAATAGCAAAATAAGATGTTTGGCATTGTCGCAGAAAATTTGGTGAATTTTTTTATGCTTGCATAATTTGTGAATTAAAAAAAAAACACACCAGGCAATACATTTTGTATCATTCCTTTTTAAATTTTATTTTTCAATCAACTTTTCAACCTGCTGCTGAGTATTTGCGATGATATGTTCAACTCCATGATGAGCGTGTCCGGGATAAGGTGTAAACATCAGCAAACGCATTTAAAAAAAAAAAAAAAAAAGTTCGGATCCAACAACGGTTCAACAAGGTCGACCAGCTGCCTCTGGTTGCTCGTTTATAAACATCAGCTTTACTTTTCCAATCATTTTTAACGGCTAAAATGATTTAAAGTGAGCAAATTTGTTCCAAATCGAGAATACAAAACATAATATTAATAAGACACTAGTGACTACAGGGTTGACTTAACTCACAAGTACACCAAATTTACAACATTCTAGATTTTCCAGTTACGAGGCCGTCAATTTCTTTGTGAGCCATAATATGATTTAAGCATAAGCTTCACACACTCTACCCACTAGACTGCAGCAGTGAAATTCACAACACCGGGCCACTTGTTCTAGTTGGCTCCCTCACCAGTTAAGTACAGAACTCTGTTGTGTTTTGCACTTGCGTTTGCGAGTATTTAGCATAATTTCTACTTACGGGCCCTAAGAAACTGGGTGTTGAGAAGAAGCGAAGGTGTGTTTTTTTGTTTCCCCCAAAACTGTTTAATTTTTTACATTGCATGTTGTGTTCATGATTGTATTCAGTACAATACTTTGGTGTTACTTTTCAGGGGCTGGAATGGATTAATGAAATTTCCATTCATTTCAATGGCTAAACTTCATTTGAGTTACATATATGAGTGATTTAAGTTATAAACTTGGTTACTGAACGAATTAAACTTGTGACTCAAGGTACCACTGTACAAGATTAAAAATCACATTATTTGGCCAAATAGTGTGAGAAAAGTCCAAAAAGGTGCGCTAAAGACGAAAATTTGCAAGTTCGATCTCTTAATCAATAATTGCCAAATACAAGTCCAGACTTTGGGGCACCCTTCATATATATATATATTTTTTTACTCCATTCGAAATTAGAGTGACAAGTGAGCTTCCAATACACTGCTCGGCACTCGCAACTGCAAAAAAATTGTAAATTCGAGTAGTCGTAGGTCACGGTACACTGTACTTTCTTGACATTTGCTTTATTCCCATGGAAAATTTCCAACTTTGATTTTGCAGCCCTCAGAAGGGCACACACGACTCATCAGAGATTGTTCGCAAATGTCCGACATTCTTCAACGATGCCAAAAACTCTGATTGGAAGACTTTCTCCGAGGCAGCGCGGCATGGATTATGATTGGTCCGTTGCCCGTGTCAGTGCTCGACAGACAAAAACGACAAACGACAAAGCATGCAGCACAATTCAGCTATCAGATGGATGGACACTTTAGATGGAGTCACATGCAAATATTCTGTGATATTTCTCGTGGTTGTTGCTGCACAAAACAAAATAAGTTGACAGTATGTGTCGGAGGGAGGCGGGCTAATGTGAGGTAAAATATTTTGTTTTTGGAAAATCACGAAAAGGAATTTTCTTTTATTTGCATTTCAAATGGACACTGACTCAATTTTGCTTCTTCAAATGAATTTGTTTTTCAAATGCTATTAACCCTTTAATGCACCCTGTAACCTGAAAACAACCTGTCCACTGTAGTAACCGCTGTCCCTAAAAGGGTTAAGATAAATGTAATTAATTTCAAAGTGGCACACATTTTTATATAAATGTCACTTATATGCTCTCGTCACCTGAAAACAAACTTCGTTACGAGCTGTAGCGAACATGGTAAAATCGAATTATTTTTATTCCCGTTGAAATATGACAATCAACTAGTTATTTAAATTATTTATTTAGGGCTCAACCGATTAATCGATTAAGTCTTGAAAAAAACTGTCAAATGTTCTGCCTTAAAATCATGTCTTTGTTGTTGTAAGTGATAAGGGGGAAAAGTACTTATTTTATTCATTATATCTCTCTTATATATATATAAAAGTATTTTTTTAAATGAGTCGGCCAACGAATTATTAATGTTTCTAAATTGTGTTCATCTGAATTTTATTCTGGCAAATGTTGGAATTGGCATCAGCCTAAAAAAATCCATATCGGTCTATTATTATTATCGGTCTATAACTATTATTTAAATTCGCGACGCATAAATTTTTACCTCCCATCAGCCAACATCTCTCCGTAACAGCATCAGATTATAAATACACAAGGTGTCATGTCTTGCTGACGTGCACATTTTAGCTCCCCTTTAAGACTTTCGAGTGCTCTAACGGGTCAAAGAAAATGAATTGAATTAATTCCATTTTTTCTATATCCTTGATAACCTGCTTCAGGCCCATGTAATACTGGTATTCTCTTTATTCTCGCTCTCGCTGGTAGAACAACTGTGTTCTATGAGTAATGTTTGTTTTTTTCATTGCTTCATGACATTTCTGCTCACTAGGAGAACAACTATAAACTACTTTCTCGAAATGACAACCCAAAGATGGATATTAATACAGTAAAATTTGTTTCCAGCACACAATTTTCATTCAGTGCACTAGTATAACATGATACATTATTCAATTTCACGTCTTACTAGTGCTCTGAATTGTCCTACTAATGAGAACAAAGAACGTACAGTATTAGTATGTGGACCTTTGAGGCAACTGAACGAAACCTGATTGGCGGAGCCTGATGACATCATCAGTAACTTTTTCTACATGACTGGCTCGTACAGTTTGCCGCTCACACTTGGTTTTTTTTTTCCTTCTTGTTTTGATTTGAACTAATCAGAATCCAGCATACAAGGGGAAAAAAAGATGTGTTGAGCGCACACTTACTGATCTGCTTGCTTAATGGAGCCCACTAGTGGCCTGGCATGCACATTGCAGCGTCCAGTCCAGATGCTCTTTTGCGGCCTAACATACAGAACATTCATTCGGGAGGCAGTGACGCAGACGACACGTGAAAACTGTGGATGAAACATTAGCAAAAAGAAAACAAAACATGCTTGATATGAGATATATCGAAGTTCTTTGTATCTTAATGCCGTACTTTGGCGTAACTTTCCATCCAAGGCCATGTCCATATGCCATTGTCGATGAAGAAATAAAATTGATGCATCCCTCCACCCGGTGAGTGATGCAATTCGAGGACGGTACATTTGCAAGTGGAAACATTTGATTCGGTTTGACTCGATGTATTCACATCTTTTAAATCAAAACCTATTTTCGAATCAATTTGCGCTACACCGTTAACATGGACACACAATAGGCTTTTAAAAAAGAAAAATGTCTTGTTCTCACTCAAGTCCAGACGAAATGAATTCAATGGAGTTTCACATTATGGGTAAGCATTAACATAGTGGACATTTATTAGTTATATGGTTTGGTTGAAGATTTCTGTTTTTAAATATACATTGTTTTCTCTTTTGTTGTTGTGTTTGTGTGAGACCGTTGTATATGTTAGTATTTGGCTAGGAGACCTTGGTTAGATATGTGGTTTAGTTGCAGCGTATCATTGTCTGTGTATACATTTGGACGTGGCCTCAGAGTTACGTTTCACAAACAGGAAGTGAGTCAAACCACATCCGGCGAATTTAACTTCTTGATGATGATGGCAGAGATGCAATCAAAACAAAAGAATCTGTACATCTTCCTCTCAACAATTCCATCACCAACCACACATAGATACTGTATAATACATAAATATAGGCTGCGACGTAGCAACCCAAAACTCTCAAGTGTGACTGGCCACAAGAAGAAGCTTGTGATGCTAAAAAAAAAAGAAAAGAAAAAAGTGCTCAAGTGTTTGCATCGCTAAAGAAGAAAAAAATGCGCGATGATAATGGTGACGACGACGATATTTCTACATGGCTTAAAGCTTCGGAGTTCTCAGCGCTCGCCCGACTCAAAGGAGCCGGTGGGGGTTGTGGGGGGGGACACTTTGTCGTCACGGTGACGATGACGATGAAGAGTAGATGTGCTAGCCTCCTGGCTTTTTGCATAAAATGTAAATCGTCATCACCAAAAGAAGAACATTGAAAGAGGAAAAAGAGGATTCTTGCCCTTTTTTTCTGCTTCTTTTTCTCTGCTTGTTTGGGTTGGAGTTTCCGTCATCATGGCGTCGGTTGTTTGGTGCTGAACAGTTGGGAGTGTTGCATGGGAGTTCTCCAGCTGGGGGCGCTCCAGGCTACGAGCCTTCCCGCTCTGTGCAGTCCTCGTCGTCATCTTCCAGCTGCCCGTCCTCCTCGCAGCCCTGCGTGGCTCTCAGGGGGCTCCTGCCTGGCTCCTCGCCGTTCATGGTGGGACTCCGCGAGGACTTGAGCAGCTTCTCCTCCAGCTCGTGCAGCGACGGCTCCTTGTACATGCACACTGATGACAAAAATATACACAACTGCAGTCATTCTGCAAAAAGTCATCCTCATCGCAGTGTACCCCTGGGAAATACGTTCCTGACAAGGGCTGAATGATTTGGAAAAAAATAATCTTTTTTTTCCCTCAAAATCCCGATGGCGATGTAACATAAGATTATTGTTTTTAAGGTCCTCTTCCCTATTGTTTAACAAATATAAGCAATAATTTTTAATCGGTATTACAGTAAACAATATCAAATTTATCACACATACATGTTTTGATCTGATAAATTAGGTTGATGATCAAATGAATTGAATGTTGTCAAAGTTCTCATTTCAAATTACTGACAATGTTTTTGACCATCTCTACGATGGCTAGATGGAACTCTTCAGTTCAGCAGTAGTTCTACAACCCCAATGGAATAAGATGCCAAAAGAAGTGAAGTGAGCCTTCAGTGTGAATTCATATAAATCCAGGTTAAAAACTGTTCTTTTTCCCCTCACTTATGAACAAGGCCTTTGCAAGTATTTTGAAAATATTTGTTTTCAAAACCGTGTTCTTGCATACGTACGTTGTTTTCGTAATTTTACTAAGTTACCTTGTTATTTCCTTTTTGGGCCTTTTAAATGTCTCAAATTCTTTTTTTTTGTCTTGTAAATGCTGTATTTGTAATTGTGTGGAGCACACTGAGTTACTTTGTGGATGAAATGCACCATATAAAAAAACAAAAACCATGCTAGTCTATGATGTTTTTGGTTTTTTGTTTTGTTTTTTTAACAGGTGACCCCAAAAGGTTTCATCCCCGTCCCCATTTCTTAAAAAAAAAAAAAAAATACAGACACGAATAAATAGAAACTAAATAATCCAGGGTAACGAGTAAAAGACGAATGGACGAGTCAGATAAAAAGTTTACTTGGGTTGTCTTTCTTTGCGTGATTTAGGAAAACATCATGGCTAGCCAGCTAGCTAACATCAGTGCGCTATCCATCTTAGCATATAATTACCACAACTGTGCCATTAACCTGAGCAACAGAAAAGCAGTTAATCAGCCAGTAACTAAATCATCGTGTTAATTTTGACCGATTTCCAATGCCCGATTTTGAAACAAATTCCGTATTGAAATGGAAATTACATCTGGCGTTCCATCTCCTGTCCAAGCAGTTGTTTACACACGTTCGGAATTAGCCTCGAGTGATGTGCATGACACTAAATGAGGTGAAGCCAGAAGTGGAAGAGGACAAGGATGAAGGACGAATAGGAAGAAGGAAGTTGACAGATATTTTTAAATGACGCTATGGGAGCCGGGATTGAGTGAGGGAGGGTGAGCCGTTCGAGCGCTGAAAGCGGAGACGGAGGTCAACGTTTCCGCTTGAAACTTCCAAGTGAAACACTGGAATGTCAATTTCTCCTCTGAACGACAGAAGTGAACACGACCTCCGCGGCCAGCGCGCTAAGTCAGTTGGATTTTGCTGCACTTTTAGTTTTTTTTTCTTTCTTCCCTTCTTTTTTTCCGCTATATAGGTCTTAAGTTCATTCAGTTGTTGTCATTGATATAAAATGTAGATTCACATTTTCAAGTGGTGAGTCTTGAATGAAACTTTCCACCCAAATTGTTTGATTCAAAGACTAACAATAAATGTACCCTCCCCCACCACCCCCCACCCCCAAAAATAGTTTTCATGGGTTTCAATTGGCCTGCGATTGGCTGGCAAACGGTTCAGGGTGTCCCCCGGCTATTGCTACAGCTGGGATAGGCTCCACCCGCCCTCTCCCCCCACGACCCTTATGAGGATAAAGCGGTTCAGAGAATGGATGGATGGATGGATGGATGGCATTCAATTTGGCAAAAGTGGCATTGATAGAGCTCAAAGTTACAATTTGATGTAAATCACAAATTAATTTTAAAAGCTAAGCTTGGAAATGTCAAAATGTGACGAGCCCTCCCCAGAACGTCATTGTATAAACGTGGCCAGGGTGGTACCTTCGATGGGCCTGGGGACAAAGTGCGAGCAGGGTTTGGTTTTCTTGACGCGGTTGCCCTTCATGATGACGCCCTCTTTGTTGAGGCCCAGGAACCAGGCCCGGCCCGACTCGTGCTGCCGGTACAGCGTAGATGAGTAGATGACGTAGTAGTTCTCAAACACAGACTCCTTGAACTTACACTCGGCCGTGAAGATGTCCTGATTGACACACGCATGCACACACGCACACGCACACGCACACACACACACACACACACACACACACACACACACACACACACACACACACACACAAATATTTCAAGTATACAGTGAACCTCGCTTGTCATTAAAGACACAGCGTATAAAATTCACAATATAGAGAGACCATTAAGTACATTTAAATTCGAGGTGTAACGATTAATCGATAATTAATTGATTATCAAATGTACCGATTATTATTTTTAAGAATCGATCACTTGTTTCGAGACAAAAATGGTGCAAATCCTCGGAATGTCAGCCTCTCAATACTGGAAAATAAAATAGAAGGGGCACAAATGATGAACGGTGATCCAGCAGGGCTTCACCGGGTTTAATTTTGAAGACATTCTGAGCACACGTGAATGCAACACAACATTTCTCCTCCTGCATGATTCCGTCAGCAAAGAATGACATTTTAAAGTTTCATGCGAGCCGAAAGCTGAATAATGTATAACGCAGCATTATGAGCTCCACTGAGAAGGAGCTGTTGCAACGAGGACTGTGAAGATGGATGATGAAGGCATTTCAATGTGATTCCAAAATATTTTACATCACCCTAATAAACGTTTGTCTTCATTCCCCAACTACTCTAAATAGGAAAACCAAGCCCTGCCGGCCTGAGAACTATAAGAGGCACTGACCTACATTTACAGCCTAAATTGTAATATTTGTAGCATGAGATTGCATAACAGTCTCCATTTAGTCGCGTTTCTCTTGGCTGCGCTACTCCTAATACATGCACGTGGACGTTAATTAATTTTTTTCTCCGATCAGATTTCAGCCTCTGTGTTAAAACATGTCAATTTAATCCGCATGCCCATTCCCATGAACCTTGATAACCAGTAGTGTTTGTTGGCCTATGTATCTTGAACTATATTTGCAATGGGACTGCTTCTTTCACCGACCACATTTCAAATTCATCCTCACATTGATGATGTCAGCATTTTCTTGCCCCCGCGATTGCTTGGTCACAGCAAAACTTGGGCGAACAATGAGTTTGCGAGGAACCACATGCTTGCTTCACCAAGACATTATTATGGGCACCCTGATGTGTGGCGTTCAACTGAATGAACGAATGCTGTTCTTACAGATGTGTAAAGGAAGCCCTCCGCGTTCATGGCCACGTAGAGTCCCGCCTTGACGCCCTGCATGGCCACCACCCGCAGACCCACCGGGATCAGGTTGAAGAGAGCTGCATAAACACACAAACATGAGACCGATTTTTATGTGAACATGTGCATCCATACTTGCAAAACCACTCATCCTAGATAGGAATTTCCCAATATAAATCGGTTGTTTTTGGAGAGGATAAAGAATGTATGCCTGTATTGTTAAATTATGTGTTGTTGCACCGTTTGTGTTCGTATACATGGCTGGCCCTTCAAGGGTTATAATACCGCAACGCTGCAACGCTGTTTAATTTATTTTATTTTTTTTAGCCTGTCCATGTCATTTTGCATTGTTTGCTAATCAGACTTTGCAAAGGCAAAGCTATTTGTGTTTATCCTGGTCCAAAGTTTTTGATTGCCAACAAAATTAGAAATTCTACACAAAATGTACCCCGTAAAATTTTGCAGAAAAATTGAGAGCTGGTCTTGACACCCGTTGTTTATTTTGCTCCAACTGCATGTGCGAAATGTAAATTGTAGGTATGAAAACCTTTACCTTCCTTTTTCAATTTTCTAATGTGGGTTAGGCCCCTCTCAATTTTTAATTTCTTTCTTCCGAATTTGCACAATTTGGTTGTAAGCACAGTGAAATGTATTGCTCCAGGTGCAGCTTATTCAATAAAGCATGAAAAAAAAAGTTATGTGTGTGTTTCTTCTCAATCAATACAGAAAATCTCATTCTCTTAGCTTTATGTTTTATAGTGAACTTTAAGTGGGAGAGGCATTAAACTGCTTGAAGCCTCTTTTTTTGTAGACAAACTTGATAAATCGGGTCACTTGCACCGGTGTCTATCTGAAAACGCAATAAAATGTAAAGCTACGAACCAGTTTTCATTTCCATTTGTCAGCGATTCAAATTGAGAACATGCAATCCAATTAGACTCGTATCCGTGCGAATGTTTAAGCCTTGGTAAAGGTCTACATAAACCTCGACTGTTGCATAATTCTGCGTTGAGGCCTTTGGAGCCAATTGGGATCTAGGATGATGAACCTGCTTCACAAAGGAACATCAACATCTGTGCACAATTTTTGGACGGACGCTGCCGATACTAAATGCCGCCGACACGCTTAAAGATAAAAACAGTGCGGCATTATGGGTGAGGAGGAGGAGGAGGAAGAGGAGGAGGAAGAGGAGGAGGAAGAAGCCCGTGGCGTTAATCCTCTCCGGGAGAACTGGGAGACAAAAGTGCGTGTGAGATGAAAAAAAAAAAATCATCTCATCTCTCTTGCTCGCCGCTTCTTTTTGGGGAACTGCGGGATGTGTCGAACATGCATTTACACTGCATGTCGTACCATGCAATTGCCTTTGAATGGATTTTGGTCTTTTCATTGTATCTACTTTAAAGCTGTTTATCTGTTATGTAAATTGGAGATGAAACACATTGACGCTTTATGTTTGTCGGTGAAAGCAGGATGAAATGTGAAATACCGTTGGAAAAACGCTCCCATTTTTCAAAGACATTGTACAAACGAGAAATTTGTACCCCGTGTTGAGCCACTTATGGAGGCTCAAATTAAAAACAAACAACAAAATCTTTTCTTTTTCTCCTCATTGCTTTCTGAAGAGTCTCAAATTCGTTCACTGCCGTAGAATCCAACTGAGATCCAAAGCTTAACTGCCACCAACATTTAGATTCATATTGAAGTGTATTTTTTCAACAGGGCAGGTGCGGATGAGGATTTCGCCAGCTTGTCTGTGAAAGTCAGGTTTGCATACCACTGTAATGATAAACAGATCCCTGTAGACGGTGGCATTGCGTCACTTTGGCTTTGAGATTGACACAGTTTTCCAGGAGAAGAAAAAGATTAGTATCTCAGCTTGTCACGTCGATTTTGAGGGAGCAAAATGCCGACCAGTTGGACGTCAGATGCTATAAACAAGATTATGTATCGTGGTAGGCAATCGAAAGTGTGTGTTGTGAGGCTGAGAAAAGATAATGCAATTCATGCTATGAATGACAAACGGCATGTAAAAAAAGTCATTGACGTTCGATTTGAGCCATGTGGAGAATCAGCATCAATCATGGCGTATTTCTTTTAGTTTAATATACGTATCATGTTTTTTTTGTAAAAAGCAGTTGCAGCAGGTGGGTTTGACATGAGAGGTTAAAACATGGCAGGCCATTATTTTTTTTTATTTTGCATGTGTGCATTTTATTTTATTTCGTATTGCAGGTACAATCAGAGTACAGTCAAACCTCGGTTTTTGAATGTCTCTGTTCTCTACCAAATCGGATTTCGACCAGAAAATTCGAGATTTTTATGCCTCGGATTATGACCGAAAACCAGTTTTCGACCAAATTGAGCAAACCCGAATACGCCACACGAGAGGAGTCTCTCGGCTTCCTTACATGAGGAAGTGACGCTTCATTGTGGAGTGTTCATTGTGAGCAGCCATGTTTGTTGTGATTTATGCAAATCTGACAGTTTTTTTTTTGTTATTTCTGCATAGTGCCCCTAAATATTATTAGCCCCTAAACATGGGCTAATAAAGTAGTTTCGTAATTCAAACAACTCGCTTTTTGAACAGCCTTCTGGAACAGATTATGGGCGAAAACCGAGGTATGACTGTATTAACAATTTTGTGGTCAGTTTAAAGAAATGTGAGACTCACTGTTGTCGCTGTTCTCATCCTTGTTTCCACTGATGGTTCCATCAGGTTGCATCTGCAGGAAGAAGCCTTGCTCGCTGAAGAGACGCGTCACAATGCCCTTCAGCTGCGGCTCTGCAACCCAACACACACAAAAAGTATAAAAATATATCGTTTGGGTGAGCGCTACAAAGCCATCGGCACTCATCTGTCCACTCTAAACACTCAGCGCATTTATAATTCAAGCGTAGGACCATGTTGAGACATTAGCAAAGCGTGCTACATGCGCCACCATGTCGGTGGACATTTTACCTCTTCACTCTGACCGCTCCCACCCATGTTTTCTCTGCGCTTTTCTGTGCTCCTGACATTTCTGTGCTCAAGCACAAAACGGAGCAGGACTTTCCAAAGGTTTGCAAAAAAACAAAATTAAAATGGAGAAAAAGACAACTAACTGAGGAGTACAAATGATGCTCCACGTGACGGGTCGCAAAATTCAGGGATTTTTCAAGTTCATGGGAATTCACTGGCATTTGGGAATAAGCAAGGAATCTACCATTTAGAAGAGAATTTCGGCTAATGTAGAGCACACACACACACACACACACACACACACACACACACACACACACACACACACACACACAGTGTGGACATATAAGCCATTTATCGCATTACTAGTCTTTACAACAAGTTGGTGGGAATTTGTGTTGTTATGGATGGAGCCGAGCTAAATGCTAAGCTAATTAGCTGGGCCAAACAATAACACCAATAAACAACAACAATAACATCAGCCATCGTCTTTCACCTCAAATCACTGAAAAACGGGAATTAACAGCAAAATAATGAATGTAACCTCCTGGAAAAGCATGTTGCTATCCAAAACAGCAGCACCTAGCGAAGCAGGTGAACAGTGTCAGATGAACTGAAATGTGGAGTGCATCGTACGACAAATAATAAACACCTCACTTGTTCTCATCAGAAAAAAAAGCAAGCGGTACTGTAAATGCAAAAGACAACCTGCTAGAACTCTGCAGCTAACCAAAACAACAGCACCAAAACATTCTGTGTAGCCTCTCAGATGGAATCTTCGCACATGTTGTAAACACATGCAGCAGACTTTAATATGTGGTCGCTTGACAATGTTGTGAGGTTTCCATATTTGTGTTTCACCGTTCATCCCTCCATCAAAATGCTAAATTGGTATGATAGTGGTTCACATAGCTGACTTTCATGCAGATGGCCGGTCCTGTGGCCGGTTCAGTGGGATACAAGCTAGTTTTGATTAGGTCCTGTTGTTTTATACGCAATAGCTCTGATGATCTTGTTGGGATGGTGATGATGTTCAGCGTCACTTAACAGCTGTGAGTCACACGTACGGCACGCCGACAGCACTTCCCCTCAGAACATTATGTGCGTGATAAATGCAAGCACCTCAATTGCCGTACCTTATGGAAAGCATTTTGAGTATTAATAATAATACCGACGAAGTTGAGTAAGATCAGACAATGTCGCTCAACTAGTGAACCCTAATTTTTCTACTAGTGCCCCCGTTGGGACAAAGAACATACGAGTGCATGGACCTCAGGCAGGATATCAAGGATATGGAATAAAAGCTTTCCGTTGTACTTCAGTTTGTGTGGTCACGAAACACCATTGTGTGTCATGTCCCTTTAAGAAGCTGCTTGCAGGATCGCCGTGGAAACACAAGGCAGCTCATAAATGTGTCGCACGAATGCTGTCAATGTGCTGACTTGACGTTTCCCCAGAGAAAAGCATGATGATAAAACCAAGCTTCACAATTACAGCTGGGAAAAAGAATTCCTTTTCTTATCAGATCAAATCCAAACAGATGTTTGATATCAAAGAGTTTCATCATTAAAAATAGTCCAAGTCACTTGTTGGCAATTTGATCTTAATAAACACTGGGCACTTAATCCTGGTTGATGCATCCACTGGGATAGATTCCAGTTCACCTGTGACCCTAAGAGGACAAAGGATAGATGCTACAATAGGATTGAAACCGATCCTCTTACTCGATAATGACCAAAGTATCAGGTATTGTCTTGAGCTCTTTGTCCTGAACAAACGACAGAGCGTTTCAAAACTGATTACTCAAAAGGCATCGAGCACTCACTGCGACATCAATATTCCGTCCATTGATCACATCACATGTGAGCATGTGCAGACTGAAATGAGCGAAGAAAAAAAAAAGCACAATATTGAGCTTTGGGCTGAAATTTGCCTTACATCCTTTTCAGGTCAACTTAACACGATTCAATGTTTCACTTTGTGTTTCTCCAACGAGGGGCTGAACAGTAAATTCACAAGAGGTGTTTGTTGAGCAAGTCCTTGATGGTGTTGTGGTCCACTGGCCTGACTTTGGTCAGGGCAGCTTGGGTTCAGTTCCCATCAGAGTTTGCCATTTATTTTTTAGGGATTCCCACGGGATGTGAGTCAACTTTACCTTTAATCATGGAATTGGGAGGACACAGGATAAAAAGTTCACGGGAGCGGGATTAACCAGTCGGAAAACATACAACAACAAAAAACCTCGGACAGATGCGCAGCCATTTTAATGTAGCTGACCTCCGAAATGGGAGCAGGATAGGAGGGAGGGTTGTTTTTGAACCCACATGGGTCCAGCAGGCAAAAAGCCCAGACTGACAACACAGCACAGCTCTTAAGTCATCGGGGCACCGGTGTATTACTAACGTCCTTTTTTTGCGCAGCACTGGCTCTCATCCATTACAAATGGACCAATACATTCCCGAGTTCAATTTGTATTTCAACAGTCCCCGTCATCCTGCTGTTAACATTGGGACATTGTGAGACCAAAGCACAATTAACAATTGATGAACTGGGTAACAGGTTTCAAAACCAAAGTGGCCACTGAACTTAGAGTGTCATCAGCAGGTTGCAAACGGTCATAGACTGGAACATTGAGTTGCCCTTTGTATGAAATGTGCTACACATAGTCATAGGGCGGCCCGGTGGTCCAGTGGTCCAGTGGTGAGCGCGTCGACCTCACAGTGCAGAGGTACCGGGTTCAATTCCAGCTCCGGCCTTCCTGGTTCCCGGATCCCGGTTTTCTCCGGGTATTCCGGTTTCCTCCCACATTCCAAATTGAACACTCCAAATTGTCCCTAGGTGTAAGTGAGCGCGGATGGTTGTTCGTCTCTCTGTGCCCTGTGATTGGCTGGCAACCAGTTCAGGGTGTCCCCGCCTACTGCCCGAAGACAGCTGAGATAGGCTCCAGCACCCCCCGTGACCCTTGTGAGGATAAAGCGGATCAGAAAATGAATGAATGAATGAATGAATGAATATACCGTATTGGCCCGAATATAAGACAGTGTTTTTTGCATTGAAATAAGACTGAAAAAGTGGGGGTAGTCTTCGGGGTCCAGACATTGTACCCATTCACGACGCTAGATGGCGCCAGATATCATTGAAGCAAATGCTGAACTTGACTCCCCAGGCCAAAGCGAACCCCTGTCACGAAGAATAAAAATAAAAATAGCGGTAGCACAAAGAAGAAAAGTAAAAAATAGCGGTCAGAAAGAAAAGAGAAGAAAATAATAGAAGAGATAACAGAAAATTGAGAAACTTAGCGACAATCTGGAGAAAAGTGGGTCGAAGATTGGCCAGGTTAACCGGCAGCTGAGGAGACGTTATGATGTAATTTACATTTCAAAAACCAGAAGCCATTCATTTACGAATGTGATTGCACTTTAGTTTACATATTTAAATGTTCAGATATTAAGATTTGAATGAGGCAAAATAATATGCTTTTTCTCTCAAATATATTGTTAGAATCATTTGTTTCAGATGTACTGTAATTATTTTCTGTATAAAAATCAATTTGGTGTTCAAAAACTCTTTTTTCAAACTTGAGTCTTGAAAAAGAGAGGGTCGTCTTATAATCAGGGCCATCTTATATTCAGGGCAATACGGTATAGTCATATATAAATAATTAAAAAAAAAAAAAAACGGCGTTCAAGTTCAGCGCATTTTAGGGAAGCCAAATAGTTTTGGTGAGTCTTGACAAATATGATATCCGGCAACCCACCTGGTTTCCGTCGCACCGGTTTCTTCTTGCCGCCACTGCTGCAGAAGCGGACTTTGCTAAAGACACTGAAAATGTGCCTCAAACCTTTGGGTTCCTTGGTAGGACTGGAACGCCTCTTGTTGGTGGCGACTTTCTCACTGTTGGACTCGCGGGCCTGACGCTTCTGTCGGATCAGGGAGCTGGCGATAGCTGCCGCCATAGCCTCTGCCAAGCGCAGGGCGGTTTTCAGTCCAGGACACGCGTCATGTCCGAGTGCCTGAAATGTCCATTACTGTCACGTCACGACATCAAGCAGAGGGTGCTGGAGAAAGTTCTACGACACCAGAAGGATCCCTGATGACAAATTTGAATTGACTGTTCCAATCCAGACGACGATTCAGCTTGTTTGTCAAAAAAAAAAAAAAGGGGGGGACATCCAGATTCTTCTGCAGTGGTTTCAGCCAGAAATGTAAGAATCTGTTTTTTTTTTCTCGGTAAGAGAAAGATAAGACATGAAGCTGGGGAACCTGGAGAAGATTCTCTAACATTTGAAGGATCTTTTATGATGACAAACTTAACTTTTTGGACTTTTTAAAGACGATTCAGCTTATTTGTGCAAAACTTGTCATCCAAATTTAGGACAAGTGATTTCTTCGTGTAAAAGTTCTCCTGTCACGCCATTACTTCAAGGATCCTCGATTACTTTGTTGGCTTGTTTTAAAATCCAGAAGACAATTTGTTTTGTTTTTTTGACTCCTTGACTGAAACATGATAATGTTTTCTCTTGATGACGACGAGTCAAACGTGTCGGCTATATATTAATCAAATGTTGATGGGAAGTTTGAAAAGTTGCCTCCCTCTGTGAAGAAGCTGAAAATCGAGGTACTGTAGCTAATCTTGATTTAATGCTGTCTGATGGAAGTATAAAAGCAACCGTAAAAACTTCTCTTCATCCAAGTTCGGTGACGCCGCAGTCACAATGTATCCTTGGTAGCCATCTCTCGGAGGCGCAAGAAAAATGCGCCGCCAAAAAGGAAACCCTGCTTTAGCTTTCTCCATCAATATTCATAAAGACACCAGCAAGTGTGTCTACATGCCTGCCAGGAGGTTTTCTGCAGCTTCAACTTCAACCGGCACAATGCGGCAACACAAAAGAAGTTGACAGGGGGGAGGGACAGCGAAATCCAAAATCCGGCAGCTTCGACACGGTCCAGACGCTGAATCTGTCTCGGTCCGAGTCGTCGGCTGAGCGCTGACGATTGTGGCAGGATTCCGAGGGACGGAGAAGAAGAAGGGTGAGAGCGCGAGAGAGCGAGAGAGAGAGAGCGAGCGAGAGAGAGAGAGAGAGAGAGAGAGAGAGAGAGAGAGAGAGAGAGAGAGAGAGAGAGAGCAACAGAGAGGGGAAGCAATAGAGAGAGATGCGTGGAGGTGTGGAAGAAGCTCCTAAAAATAGTCAGCCTGATGTTTTATGTTGCTCCCACATCACAACGTTTCTCTCTATCGGCACAAACGTCGACTCTTAGTGGACACAGACCAAAAATAAATAAATAAATAAATAGTCCACTTTGTTGAGAATGTAAAGTAATTCATTCCATTCCGGTGCAGCTGAGCGATTCAGAAACTAGGAGGATCGAAAAGGTGCATGAAGCAGAAGCAACTTTGCTCTCCTCAAAGGCTGCTTCTGCACCAAAGACATACTTCTGAGATTTCACGTTTGGGGATCCCTTTGAAAAGACTTCCAAGTAAGACGTCAAGAGTCTTTGACGCCTTCTTTTCAGCAAGAAGACAAGGAATGCAGCATCCAAGGTCCTCTGATTGCTCACACCAGACATTGAGCTGCCTCCTCATATTAAAACGCAACTCGTGAAAATCTGCACAGAAATGAGGCTACCGACATCACGCCCAATCACTACTTTGGTTCAAATGAAGCTCCTCAACTCTTTTCAACAGTTTCTTCATGACAAGATGGCAGAAAAGTATCAATTTCATCCAAATGAAGCTCCTCAACTCACTTCAAAAGAGTGCCTGTCCAACAATATGCGACACGATGGTGACTTTGTCCATAGGAAGCTTCTCCAGTTTACATAGTTCCCTGGTAACAAGATACCCCATGGTTACAGCAAAGCACTACTTTTGTCTGAATAAAGCATGACCTCAATGCATATCAGCATAGTTCCTTGTCGCCAAGGTGCCAGAAAATGTCATTAAGGCACAAACTTGGTCAAAATGAAGCCGCTCAAATGACTTTAACGTAGTCCCTTGGCACAAGATGCCACAAGGGCACTACTTTTGTCTAAATGAAGCTCCTCAACTCACTTTAATATCGCTCCTTGGCACAAAGAAGCTATGGGATGGCGGCAAACCAATATTTTTATTCAGTGAGTAAAGGACATTAGGTAATAGATAAATATATATATCTATATAACTATATATATTAAAAGATTTTTAATCCAAACAACATTCATCTTTGTTCTGTAAACACTGTAAACAACTTTTTTTCTCCCAAATAGGCAACTTCTGAGTTCCCTTATTTTTTGTTTTCAAAGGTACACAAGCTATTTTTAATATGTGTTAGCCTTATGAATTGAGCCCTTGGAAAACTTCTCCTGTCCTGAACCCACAACGTTTGAGGACCCCTGTGTTTGGATGCAGGCGCTCCAATCCACAATCTTGTGGTGACCAGCAGTACACAAGCCAACACAGCTTTTAAGCTCCAAACACTCGCTCACTCGTTCACTGAATATTTTAGCAAGCAGCACAAACACTTTGATGCTATTAAAAACTAATCCACCACAGCCAATCAGTTTGCCCGAGGTGGCCACACGCACACCGCAGCATCCACAATACGCAGATAAATTGGAACTTCATCATCTGGAAGGAGGAAGGTGGGGGGGAAAAAACAGGTCAGCGCCTTCAATTATCATCGTGTATTTGCGTACCTGCGCACTGGGACCGGCCGCTTGGATATTTTACACCTCGATGTGGCCAGCACTTGCTTTTAACACCAGTCAGCATGACTAATCGAGAGCATAATTACAGACTCATTAACTTTGACAGTGTGAACCTCACAAGCTTTGTTTTTCAAATCAGTCTTTTTTCCAGCATTTGTTCCATAACTAAATTTACTTGCACAGCGGACCCTTAAATCTTTACAGTTCAGCATTTGCAGATACGCCACTTTGCAGAATTTTTTTTTTTTTTTTTTTTTTTTTGAGGGAGGGCACCTAATTCCCTGTTATTTGCGTAAAAATCCTCTGCTTGAACACCGTATATCTTTCCTGATCCTGATCCTTGTTCGCGTTCTTTTTTTGGGAGAAAATTTGGAGGAAAAAAAAAAACTTTCCACGATTCGTTGTCAGGCCTGGTCTCTCTCTATCCCCCACAAACAGTGGCGGTCCATTGTATCTCAAATCAATTTTCCCCATTGAAATCAATTGAAATGCCATTAATCCGGACCAGCCACCCCAAAAATTTTGGGTTCCATGCTTTTAAAAAAGAAAAATAGCACTAAAGTGCAAAATATAAAAAAATTAAAAAATACCAAATATTCTTTTCTCATGATTAAATTTGCATGATTTAAATCTTACTCATTAAGTATTTTAGTTTGTATTATTTACAAATAAATAATTTAACAATTATTTAACAAGGTTTAAACATTAAATGAAAATAGAAGTAATATCTAAACAAATCAATACATTAAACATACAGGTATATCAATTTATTTTCCTTTGTTTTAGTATAATGTAGAATAAATTAATTAAACAATTACAGTATTCATCTCGATTAAATGAATTTAAAAAATGAGTCAATAATACTCATTTGTGATTGTACTATTTAGCATAGTTTCATTCTCTTAGGCAATTATTTAATGAAATAAACCAAAATATATTAAATATACTACATGTATGTCCAGTATATTCTTTTCATTTGTATTAGTTAAAAATCTAATGCGGCCCGTCTCTGTTCTATGGGGTATTTTTTAGCTTTGGTGGAGGTCAGTGTCTACTTAGTGACACTGTAGTACATGTATGATGATCATTACGTTTTTGTTTTTAAAAACATTTTTGATGCCGACCTGAGACTTTGGCCGAGTGCCGTTTGCGAATTACTTACTGCTGAGATCAACCTGACCTGCTGTATCATCACACACGCACGCTGTTTGAGTGTGTGTGTGTGTGTGTGTGTGTGTGTGTGTGTGTGTGTGTGTGTGTGAGATGCAGGTATGTTTCCTGATCAATACACAAAGTGCACACATCAGAGGGCAGAATAAAGTCATCAAGTAAAGACGAAACCTCCATGCAGCTAACACACACGCCAATAATCAATGATGAATGATAAAGTCAGCTTAGTACTGGGTTATTTTTAACAGTATGAGGAATATGAAAACAAAGTCAGTGGGCGCGCGTTGTCGGCATTGTTGATTTTGAAAGACTTTTGATTTTTAGATATAGGAGTATGGAGAGAAGTTGTTTTTGTTTTGAGAGGGAGGAATATTAGATGACTAGTTTTATGTATCCGTCCTTGCGTTTTCTATAGGTTTACCCTGGACAGGTCGCCTGTCACTATCACGCATTTAGACAAAATGGAGGCTGGGTGGCCAATGTCAGGACAAACAAGCATTTCCACTCAAACTCACATTGATGCCTTCAATGAGGTTAACTTGCTAGATGTGAAGAAAAACTCACTCGACCTGATTTGAACCCTGAACCTTTTGATTGCGAGGCAGACGTCCTAAATCGGGTTGCCCACATTGAGTTCACCCGACTCTCGTAAAGAAATGACAGGCACTGCAGTGCAGAGTGGAGATACGTTGCCATCTGCTGGACGCAAACATAACTGCAAGTGTACTGCTCACATTGCACCTTCTATTGAAAGCCGTTTGACCATTTACTCTACTACTTAGTAAAGCACATTGGTCTACTAGTGCGTTAAATGGTCTTACTAGTGCGGACATAGCGTGTACTAGTGGGACAATCACATGTTAATAGTGAGGCAAAACCTTACACTAGTTGACAACCGCATGCTACTAGTACTACAAGTGACTAAAATTCTACTAGTTAATACAGTATCTGTCACTTCACTAGTTGTACTGGTATTGCGCACAGTTTTGTTTCATTAGTTGCAAAATTCAGCTGTCTTATTAGCATGCCAAAGTCGATTTACTCGTGTCCTGAATTGTCTTATTAGTAATGTTTCTTTCCACTACCGCATGACATTTCTGCACACTAGTAGGAGAACTTTGGTACCATCTGATACTTTGCTTGTAGTACTCCGAGTAGTGGCATGCAAGTAGTGCCCAGACTTGACTCATTCGTAACATGTAATTGTCAGACTGGTATCTCTAGTATTACTAGTTGTCTTACGATAAGTGAACTTAACTCCTGAACTTCATCTATTCCCGTTGGGGCTTGGAGTGGGACTAGTGCAGCAGTAGCTTAGTAGTAAGGTTAAATCGCATACTAGTAGGTTGAAAAAAACCATTAAAAGTAGTATTAGGAAAACATTACTATAGTAAACCAACGTTGTTGTACAAGTTCACTGAATTGTACTAGTATGCAAAGATGATAAGGACGCTAACAATGAGTGATACATGTTGACTAATTTGGCCTCATACTCATGTTACTCGTGAAGCACAGTAGTTTACTTGTAAATTTTTATTTCATACTAAGAAGCCAAAAGAGGCACTCATAGCTTTTTGAACTGACTAACCTTCTATTGTGTTCACCTCGTAACGACTGCAATTCTTAAATCAGTTAAGTGAGTTAGTTAACACGTGCCCTCACACGCACAAAGTGCACTGCAGCGTGACAAAAGTGCATCCTGAGTGTGTGTGCGCGTTTTGAATATTTCATGAGAAATTCTTAACTGAGGACTCTCCGCTCCTGCAACATTCATGAATGTGAAAACAAAAGCAAGATGAAAACGCACCGAGTGATCTCGGTGTTCTCACATTTCACCGCATCTCTTTGTCATAATCACCGAAACAAGAATCCGCACTTGGTACAGTAATGTATTTGCCAGCATAAAGATGCAACATTATTTACGCCGCTGGAGGGAGACAGAGAGCCAAAAGAAAAGCTACAAACACAAGTACTGTACTGTACTTCCCCACACTGGTTCAGGTGCAAGTTGACCTCCTTTCAAAATGACTTTTCCCAGAAGAAATCATTCGCATACAGTGACTACAACATGCAAATTTGTGAATGGGGCTGGACAGCAGAAATTGAATGGAGCATGAAACATTGGCAAGGACTCGTCCAGTTTGTGTGGCA